ACAGTAATAATTAAAAAAAATCAATTGGCCAGACTTAAATAAGTTGCCATATTTCTCTGGTTTTTGAAGACATTAATAGAGTATTTGCCTTTGTACCATTTAAAGTGTTTTTAAATCATGGTTTAATTGTTTTATCGTGCAGCTCACACGCAGTATCGTCATACTAGAGCTTGGAAAATAACATGCAGTGTATTTCATTGGTTTTCTATTTGCAAATTTTGCCAATAGATTTAAAAGTCAGTTTATTATTTTTAATTTTATGTTATTTTCTGCAGTGAATAATTTCTGTACTGCAGGCTGTTCATGACCAGTGAATACTCACAACTTGCAGTAGATGGCAATTCTTTCTAATTGGGTAGTAACATCAGTTAATATATTTTCCTGAATGGATCATACCATTTCATCAGTTTTGTCATTTGGCAAACCAACCAAATCCAACTTTCGAAAGTCTTATCAGTATATAGAGGAAATGAAGGTGAAAAATAAATTTTAGAATTACAAGCAAAATAAAGAATATACATACAAGACTTCAGAAGGAGAATGAACCAGAAAACAAGTAACTAAGTGAGAAATAAAAGAGTAGAAGCAAGTGAAGTCAATGGCTAGAGGCAAGTTTTCAGTTACAGGATGTACTTGTCATTGAGATGTAGAAACGGCCTGACACAAACCCCATAAAGTTCAACCAAGTTCCATAAGTACAAAATCCTAAACCGGAGATGGAATGATTGTATGTATCAGCACTGGCTTGGGGCTGAGAAGCTGGTAGGGGCGTCTAGGTATGGGTGTCTAATTTCTGCCTTCAGCTGCCTAAGGGATGAATTACAGACCAGTCAGTCTCACCTCTGTGCCTGGCAAAATCTTGGAGCAGATTCTCCTGGAAGGCATGCTAAGGCACATGAAAATCAACAAGGTGCTTGGTGACAGCCAGCATGGCTTCACTAAGGGGAAATCCTGCCTGACCAATTTGGTCGCCTTCTATGATGGGGCTACAGAACTGATGGACAGGGGTAGAGAGTTGATGTCATCTACCTGGACTTGTACAAAGCGTTCGACACTGTCCCACACGACATCCTTGTCTCTAAATTGGAGAGACATCAATTTGATGGATGGACCACTCGGTGGATAAAGAACTGGCTGGATGGCCACACGCAAACAGTTGTCGTCAATAGCTCAATGTCCAGCTGGAGACCAGTAACAAGTGGCATCCCTCAGGGATTGGTGTTGGGACCGGTCTTGTTTAACATCTTCATCACTGACATGGAGAGTGGGATTGAGTGCGCCCTCAGCAAGTTTGCCGATGACACCAAGCTGTGTGGTTCGGTTGATACACTGGAGGGAAGGAATGCCATCCAGAGGGACCTTGACACGCTTGTGAGGTGGGCTGATGCCAACCTCATGAGGTTTAACCATGGCAAGTGCAAGGTCCTACACCTGGGTCGGAGCAATCCCAGGCACAGCTACAGGTTGGGCAGAGAAGAGATTCAGAGCAGCCCTGTGGAGAAGGGCTTGGGGGTGTTAACTGATGAGAAGCTCAACATGAGCCAGCAGTGTGTGCTTGCAGCCCAGAAAGCCAACCGTATCCTGGGCTGCATCAAAAGGAGCGTGACCAGCAGGTCGAAGGAGGTGATCCTGCCCCTCTACTCTGCTCTCTTGAGACCTCACCTGAGGTATTGCGTGCAGTTCTGGTGTCCTCAACATAAAAAGGACATGGAACTGTTGGAACAAGTCCAGAGAAGGGCCACAAGGATGATCAGGGGACTGGAGCACCTCCCATATGAAGACAGGCTGAGGAAGTTGGGGCTTTTCAGCCTGGAGAAAAGAAGGCTGCATGGAGACCTCATAGCAGCCTTCCAGTATCTGAAGGGGGCCTATAGGGATGCTGGAGAGGGACTCTTCATTAGGGGCTGTAGTGACAGGACAAGGGGTAATGGGTTAAAACTTAAACAGGGGAAGTTTAGATTGGATATAAGGAGGAAATTCTTTCCTGTGAGGGTGGTGAGGCACTGCAATAGGTTGCCTAGGGAGGTTGTGAATGCTCCAACCCTGGCAGTGTTCAAGGCCAGGTTGGACGAGGCCCCGGGTGATATGATTTAGTGTAAGGTGTCCCTGCCCACAGCAGGGGTGTTGTAACTAGATGATCTTAAGGTCCTTTCCAACCCTAATGATTCTATGATTCTATGATTGTAGAAAAGATGAAGCCAGGCTCTTCTCAGAATTGCATAGTGAAAGCCCAAGAAGCAGTAAATACAAATTGCAGCAACTGAAATTGCAATAAAACAGAAGGAAAGAAAAAAAAAAATCACTATGCAGGTAGTCAATGCTGGAACAGGTGGTTTTTCCCCTTTGAGGTAATGAGATCTTGCTTGGGCGTGGCCCTGAACAGCCTCATCTAATTTCAGTTAGTCCTGGCTGGAGCAGTACCATGACCTTGTTACCAGCGAGAATTGTTTAGCAAATGAGTTCATTTTTGGAGTCCCAAATTCAACTGGAGACTACCCATACTGTTATTATGTCCTTGGCCAGAGTGTAATCAATATGTATGAGTGCATGTACGACTTCACTATCACATGCCAGTGCTAGAAAAAGAACTGAACTGTAAATGTCCACAACTTTCACTTCTCTGGTTAATCAATTCACCATTAGGGCATAAATTCAGAATTTCAAAATGCGGTGACATCTTTGAGTAATAGTGTTGTATCTTTTACTAGAGATATACAATGTCAATGATATAACTAGTTAAATTATGCAAAATATGATAAAAGAATGCAAAATCCATCTGTGCAAAACTCCTCAGATTTGTAATAGAAAATGACCTATTAGGAATAAGACTAGTATTGTTTCATTCAGCATGGATGATTGCAGTGATACAGCCTTGGCTAGCCTCCAGATAACCACCCTGCCTTTTCTTCATTTTCCACTCCTTCACAGAACAGGAGAGAAAACAGGAAAGGAAAGCTCATGGGCCAAGATAAAGACAGGGGTAAAGACTGTTTACCATCAGAGGCAAAACAGACAGCTTGGGGAAAAGTAATCTAATTTATTGCCATCCCCAAGTAGTGCAAGCAAATGGCAACTGGGAGGATTATGGTCAGTTCATAAGAGGTCCTCTCTGCCAATCCTTCCTCCTCACATTCTGCCCCTGCTCCGCTGTAGATCTTTCCCATGGGTTGCAGTTCTTCAGAATAAACCTGCTCCAGCCTGGGCTCTCGAGAGACTGCATTTCCTTCACAAAATATGCTCCCGCTCCAGGATGAGGTCCTCCATGACTGTAGTGTGGGTTACTGCACCACCATGGTCTCTCTATGGGCCACAGGGAAACATCTGCCTCAGTGTGGTAACTCCAGGGGCTGCCAGGGATCCCTGCTGGGGTGCCTGGATCACCTCTTTGCCTCCTGCCACTCTCCCCGCGGTGCTCACAGTGTGGTTCTCAAGCTTTTCCTCTCACACCTGGGCACAGTGCCTGCGGTGGATCCATTGGATCCGGCTGGAACCCTGGCCATTCCTCACAGAGGAGTTTGAAATTAGTCTGCTTTTATATGCTCATCAATGTATAGGTATAAAAAGATAAACGTTTATGTTCATATATATGTGTATCATACACAATATATAGAAAAGCAATTCTTACTCTAATTCATCTGATGACTCCAAGCTTGCATCCATCTGCAGGAGTTCGTTTACTCTTGCTCTGCAAGGGCAGTATGATTTAGCTGCGCCGAATTTTGTTCTAAAAGTTTTCTTTCAAAAGCTTTGGTTTTAAATAAATCACTTTTTATTGTTAGTAATGGGAAATATTACAGAATTTCATACACTGTGTGATGATAATGCACTAAATTAAAGCGTCTACTGTCAGGCCAAGATTTTGATTGTGCTTTAGAGTGCTTTAAATCTGATCAGTTGTGTGGAAGATGCTCTCAAACATCCCAGTTCTCAAAGACTGGGCAAAGAACTTGTGTGTCATCCAAGAGTCTTATTTTGATCTTTTCTAAGTTCTTCCCAATTTTTACTATCTCAGTTTCTGTCAATTTACTGGTAGCTAGAGCCTCTCTTGTCCAAAGATTGTGAATGTGGCTGGTCTGCTCAGAATCTCCAGCTCTGTGAGAACTGAGGAATGCCATACCATAAATCTGGATTTAGGATCTCTGATCCAGAGTCACAAACAGTATCTCACAGGATATGAAACATAAAATCAGTATGATTTTACTTTTCTGGAGCTGATTTACTCAAAAATTTTGACAGATTAGATTTGTAACTAAAAGTTTTGGACTGGATAGTACATTTTTTGTTTAATTTACTTTTCCATTATTAAGGATGCAGCACTGGCCATCCACAGTGCTTTAACTTTATCAAGGGCTTGCATCCCCTGGCACTTTTATGCCTGGCAAGAAAATATAAAAGAAGCATATATTTCATAATGTCTTCTTTGTTAGTTCTTCAGGTATGTGGTCAAAGAACCATGCCTTATGCAGATCAGATTTTTACTGCTGAATTACTGTTCAGTGCTCAGCTATTGGCACAGTACTAAACAACTAATTTGCCAGACTTTCCTATATAAAGCAAATTACTTTTAAAGAATTTTTTCAATCAGAATGATGAAAGATATGACTTTCCCTGTTGTCCTCATAACTGCATTTGTGAAGAATTAGCAAAAAACCTGTACAAGAAGTAAATCTGACACTGGTATTCTATATGAATTTTCAGTTAAATATATCAGATTACAAGAAATAGCGCAAATCCAGTGATCAACCTTACATTTCTGTGGTTTTGCTTATTCTTTATCTGAGACATAGGTCAATCTGTTCTGAAGTGATTTCTTCACATTTGCATATCTTGTGCATGAGTATGACTGTTCAGGAATGTTGTAAAAACCTATGTCAGTGACATTTTATGGTGTAATTAGTTTACAAGCGTTTCCTATAAATATCTGTTCTTGTGGATTATTACCCTCCGTTTTAGGTTTTGTCTTTTGACAGTCCTTAATTTGTAGAGCTTTCAAGTTAGAAATGAAGCTGCAAAAAGCATCTGACAAGAAATATGTTTCTCTTAGTTACTATGAAATTTTGTTTGCTTCTCTCATTGCAGGTTTTGTGTGTGTTTGTGTTGGATTGATTGTTCTCTCATGGTTGTCAGTCCGGGAGTTAGAACGAGGTAAGCAGCTAACCTTTAATCTTTCTAGGAGTTCTTCAGTAGACGTTCAGACTTTGAAGTCAGTGGTGGTGTCATTATTCTTCATATTTCATGCCATGCCTTTAATGAAGGGGGAGGAGAGTTTGGGGATATTTGTTTTCCTCCTCTCCTCCCCTGGAAATCAATGTGAAAAAAATAGGCAAAAATATAAACATCTGAAGCATGTCTCGAAACCATAGAAAATAATTTTCATGGTTTAGAATTTGGGTGAGACCCCTGGAATGCAATCCAAGCTACAAAGCTTTGGTTATTCAGTTGTAATCATCAACTGCAGAAGGTAATATGACAACCATTTATGGGGTTTGGTTCAGAAAGACAATGATAATTCTCTGTGTTCTGCATCTCTTGGCATCTTTCATTTTTTATATAAAAAACCCACAATATTTTAAAGTCGTCTATTGACGTGAGAAAGATCCTACATTAGACAGTAAAGATAGTTACTCTTAATATTTAGCCAATACTTAGAACATGATAGAATCAAGCTACTAAGACTCAAAGTAAACTATCTATAAAATGTCATGATTTTCAAATGGAACTGAAATTTTGGTTTAAAGATCTTGTGGATATATATTAGCTGTGTCCTGGTAAGGCCACATTTGGAATATTGTGTCCAGTTCTGGGCTCCTCAGCATAGGAGAGATATGGAGTTACTGGAGTCCAGTAAAGGACTGATCAGATTGTGGAGCTCCCCATCCTTGGAGATGTGCAAAAGCTGTCTGGACATTATCCTGGCTAGCTGGCTGTAGGTGGCCTTGCTTGAGCAGTGGGATTGGATCAAATGACCTACAGAGCTTTCTTCCAACCTCAGCCCTTCTGTGATCTAAATTTTTGTTTGGAAGGAAATATATTCAGGTCTGTGAAACCCTCACAGCTAATAGCAAAGTGATATTTTGAAACAGTGTGAAGGAAATTTTTGGGGCAGTCATTAACCAAAAGTCCATACTATTTCGTACCGAAGAACAAGAAGACTAAACTACTGTAAACCGTATTTAAATAAAACCAAACCAACTTTTGTCAGAATACTCATGTTTATTCTTTCAATTGCTCTTGATTTTCATTCCAGATTTTAAAATTTGTTTTCCCTACTGACTTTCTTCCCCTCTTACCAGAATACTATCACACAATAAAACACAATGAGCTTAAAGGTAATGATGGTATGTTGTCTATTTAGAGCATAGGCAATAATTTAATAATGTATAAATTATAATAATAAAAAATAAAAAAAAATATTTGACTTATATGGAAAAAAAGGTCTTTGCTATTTAGAAACATTTGTTTAAACAGATTTGCAATCGTTGGAAGGATAAATGACCTTCAAAGAAGTTCTAAGTAGTCTGCTGTTACTAGTTGATAGCAAATTGTGTCAGTAGGCTGTGCTTTCCATTAAAAGCTGTTTATCACAGTATTTATTAGTTATATGCTTTTATCTTAAAAATTGTGATAACCACTTGATATTAATGCCTTCACAATCTACAAATACCAATGGTACTGTAACTGGTATGCAAAAAGCATTTTTCTATCAATCAACCAACCACATTAATTCAGGCCTTATCTGAAAATTCCCTGTGTGTTACATAGTGAGGAAATATTTTTAATGTATAATGAATTGCTTTATGTACATCTCATGTGCTGTAGCATATTAAAAATCAAGATGAAGTTTGCTGTAAGGACCAGTTATCTAGTTTCCTTATAAATCCTCCTAGCACTTCATGCCTGTATTGGTAAGAAATGTCAGCTCAAACTCTTCTGATACTAGTGTTTCCAGTGTTGTCATCAAAACCAGCATACATTTATATAAAAAGTGAACAGCATTTAATAAAGGAAGTGTGGAGTAGTAGTTCTTAGCTTTTTTAATCCAAAACACAAAACCCCCTCATAATTCACTGAGTATTATTCTTCCCATGTATCTTTGTCCCTTGTGTCAGACACAACGGGGCATAACATTGTCCCCTTTACCCATTTACACAGCTTCTGGAAAACAGCATTTGAAACAGAATTGAAAGTAATGAGAACTAAGGACAAATAGTATTCATTAAAACATGTTTACAGTTGTAACTATTGTAAACATTGAAAAACTTCTATCACTTTTTTGAAATCAGCACTAGGTAAAACATCTCTGGTTGCAAAGAAAACAGAAAGCTAAAACATATTGTACTGTTGATCTGTGTAGAATAAAATCTAATATAATGTTTTTAATTCATTTCTATGTAATTCAAAACATTGAATTTTATTTTAATTATCTAGCCAAGGCAAATGGGAGTACACATGGCTACATGGGAACATTTAAAATACTCTCTGGGACATCATTCACTCCTGCTTTGCAAAACAGATCATCAGCTGATTTCAAAGTCCTTGCCTTTGATGTTGAACAACTGGTAAGAACCTATTGGTCTCTGGTTAATTCAAAAGCATTGTAGGTACATTAATTTCCTAACGTGACCTGCTGTTGATGGCTTTTTTCCCTCTCTAAAATGAGATATTTCAGGTTTAGGACCCTTCAGACTGCAGTGTATTCCTTATTTGTGAAAATTAGTGAAGCATCAAAGAGGAAGTTTGCTTCTGTAGTCTAGATTTGGGATGGAAAATTTATTTAGTATTAAAACCACAAATACAATGTACAATTGGGTGTATTTTTAATTCCTGTATTTGCTCAAGATTTCTCTTTTCCATATAGATACAAGACATTTTTCAAACAAGTGATCTGAAAAATGAATTTGAGAGATGTGAAATTTCCCAGTTCAAGTAGGTATAGTTTGATCCTCACTTAGCTATTTATCTCAGGAGTGCTTACCAATACCTTGCTTTTCAAGAGGTCTTTGGGAACATCCGGTATTATTTCTTTCATGTCTTATGTCTTCCAAGTGCTACTGTGGGAAGTTTGACACCATTGTGTTTCCTTGAGCAAACTTTCTTCACAGACTCCTGTATATCTGTGCCTTGACCAAACCAGAAAGGCTGAACCCCAAGACCAGCTCACAAAATTTCTGTATTTTAGAGAATCGACAAATTTCCCTCCCCTCAAGACTTATTAGCTGTGCTATGTTTGCAGGGTTACTGGCCCTTGCATCTAATTCAGGTTAGAGATCTGCTGGCATAAGCTGAAATGAATGGAAATACACATGTGTCCTTATGGACCTGTATTCACTTAACTTATATTCCTTAGGGTGTTACCAAGTGAGGCAAGCATCTGACACAGGTAAAGCTATACCCTGTAAATCCTAAAGTGTCCATAAAATAGGTACAGTAAGATCTGCTTTATTTATTTAATCTTGTTTGACCTTGTTTTTCATTATCCTATTATGTTTGTTGCCCTGCTGAATGTCAGCTGGCAAAAAAAAGACCAGTATATTCAGTGATGTCTGTTCTTAATAAAGTCCTGATTCAGCAAAACATTTGAAATGTTGTCTTCTATTATCAAACAGTTTCAGAACATGCTTCCACATTATCCACAACATTATAAACTCAAGGGGAATTGTATGCTTTTGTGCTGTTCTGTGTTACAGGTTTTTGGGTTGTTTTTTTTTTTTTCTACAGGAAATCTGAAGATGGCTTTGAAAGATTCAAGAAGTCAGAGACTCGGTAACGGCAAATGACAAAGTGGGCAAGAGACAATGATGCTATTAATTTAGAAAGTTATGTAGACAGTGAATAGATATGAAAATACATCTTTAGAGATTGGACAAGGCTTTCTAAAGTAGACATGAAGTTTCAAGATGTAATCTTTCCTCCAAAAACATCCTTTAGGAGTAGAAGAAAAAAAAAAAGAAAGAAGTTATAGTCTCTGAGACTGTCAATTTAGGAAGAAAAATGGGAAAGATAGATAGTAAAGATGGACAGAAAGATGGACAAGAAAGTAGGTAGGAAACTAGCTAGAAATTAAAGAGTATCTGTTTGTACTGAGCTTGCTTGTGAAAAGTTGCATAGATTGAGGGGCAGATCTCACGTTGTCATTAGCAACTTAAGTTTTATTAAAGGAAGGCCTAATGACACACTATGATAGGCAAACAAAACAGAGAACAAAAAGATTAAGACTGTAGAACTGGAATTCATCAAGAAATTAATGATATAATTAGTTGTTTTATAGGTGAGAGAACAAAATTAAAGAAGTATACACTATTGTGACAGCAGATGATGCAATTCTGTGATACCAGCTGCTCTTGTGATATCAATGTTTTATGTAAATACATAAAATGGATAAATATTCAAAGGTGCTAGTTCATTTGAATGACCATGCTTGCAAAACAAAAATGGGTATTAGCCAACCATGAATACATGTATGTTGAAAATAGGAAGTGCATTTGAATTAGAGCAATCTTTTTATTGGAGTAGTGCACAATTTAGTTTCTGCACACAGAATAGGACTATTCCTATTAAAATCTGGGCATCAAAGATGGAGACATCTCTGAGCTAGTTGATCAAGACTCTATATGCAAGACATGGGTTTCTAGAATTTTTTCATCTGGTCAATCTAGATGCCTTTTTTAGGAGGAGGTAGATTATGCCAAAGAATAGCTTATTTTTTTTCCATCATCTACAACCGGAATGTAGATATCTGCACTGTAAACATCTGTATTGGGTAAAATCAATTCCACACAATATCTTGACACAAATACCACAGAAATCACAGAAAAATCTGATGTCAGTGAATGTTGGATATGGCTTTGAATACACCAGTAAGGATCTGTCTTCATTTCTTCTTTGAAATAATACTTGAATTATTATTTTGTCTCAGAAGTTTTTTTCTAGTTGACTCTTCATTCAAAATGTTTACCCCTTTGGGCAATCTTGTTGTTACATCACCCTTAAAACTCTGCTGAGTCACAAGGATAGCAATAAAAGCTTTTTTTTTGCTCACATGGCCAAGAGATTATCAGAAACATGTAAGAAATTAAAGAGGAGAGTTTTGCCATATATTGCAAACTGTGAACTATGGTCAGCAAAATGGCAGGATTAATCTCCTCTTATCAAAACCACTCCTGAGTGAATTGCCATTGGGTAGTATACATGCTTAACAATTCAAAGTTTGTACCTATACTTACATAAATGGAGAAAAATAGCAAGCATCATACTTTGACACTACTTTAGTCTAGCTACAAATATGAAACGTAATAATAGTATCTAGAAGGAATGGAAGAGAGCAAACAGAAAACACTCTGGATAGAATTCAGGTGCCTTAGAAGTCAAATGTAGTTTAATCACTGATTTAAAAACATCTGTGCTTTTAGCCATTACTGTTTCCCTATGAGAATCTATGCAGTCATACAGCAGATCCTCACAGATGCAAAATCCACAGATGATGTTTGCTTTATAGAAGTGGTTCACTTTGTATTATAGTTTTGCAACATGAATATATTACATAATTGTCATGACACTTCAAGGTTTACCATAAATATTTCAGGGCTTAATCTAGAAGACCTGTTGAATAACAATAAACCTACTTCTTCAGTTTATTCGAAATTCATCTCTGTTGCAGCAGTTGATATAAATGTTGTTTTGGTTTTTTTCCACAGTGAAAATAAGAGCAGATAAAGAAAAAAAAACCCTGTTTCTTCAATGTTCAAACCTAGTGATAAGAGGTGTTTCTTCATGTGTGATCTTTGCCAGCCAAAACTTAAAGATAGTCTGACTTTACAAATGTAACCTGCATTGGAATGAAATATTATCTAGGTGATAAGTCATATAGCAAATTTACTTCATCAGCTTGCATAACTAATAACCTTCTTTCTTTTGTATTGCTAGTGTTGTTGTGATCTTCACCCTTTATTTTAGCCACATGGTAACAGTTGAGAAAGTAAAAAATGAGCTGGTTTTGCATATCAACTCAAATAAAACTAATCTTACTCAGACACTGAAAATTGATGTGAACAGCATACAAGTCACAGGTAAGACTGGTAAACATTTTTTGCCTCTGTATAAATTCTTGAGAACTGCAGGTAGCAGGAATGAAAATTTACACTCCCAACCAGCAAAGAGATTGTTACTTATGGCCATGGGTGCCCTCCTTCACCATTAGAGAGCTTACAGTAGCAGCTAAATGAACCATTTACAACTTTGTCAGCTGGAAAGTATGTCAGCATGGTGTATGCTCATTAAGAAGGGAGTAAAGATAAAAAGAAGTGATTTCCCAGTGAAAACCACTCGATTTCATCTCTTTAATGTAGTATAACATTTGTGATTTCATTATCACTCAAATTAAAGCAATTAAGCCTCAGCAGTGTTGTTTCATAAGTAAATTCAGTTTTGTTTCTCTAAAGAGTAAGAAAAAGGGCTCAGCCTTACAGTGAGTGAAGACTCATTTATTGAAAAGATGTCAGTCAAAACATACCAAGTAGAGTGTGGCTTCTGGAGAAGCATGCCCAAGGAACTGACCTCATATTGCTCTAAAGCATATGTAAAATGTAAATGGAAGAAAAGGAATGTGGCTTTTAAGTAGTTTTAAATTTTGCAGATATACAAATATAGTGATTTTATGTAAGTACTAGAAAATATATCAAAGCCTGCAAACAAGATTAATGGGATTCCTTGGTTTTATCTCCTAAAGCTTCAAACCAGACCTTTACTGAGGATGAGGATAAAAAAATAACTTGAATCCTTTGAAGTGGAAGTTGATTAGCTGACATCTGAAGGCATGCTGGTGATGCTATTAAGTAGCAACTGATAGCAACTGATTGCTTTATGAGGGGTGGGATCTCTGATGTACAATGTCTGTTACTCTATTCTAAAATGCACATTTTTTGCTTAGTATATCAGATGTTTGAAAGCTAAATCCAGAGTCTTGACATCTTCATTTTTCTTTACTATTTGTACCACATTTCCAAAGTTGTTGTGAATACCTGCACATCACTGTGGAAAGTGATTGCTCATTATACTTTAAAAATGCCACCAAAAAGAATATAAAGAGCTTTTTAAAAGGTTGTATATCTATTGATGAAATTTGGAGTAGTTAAACTTTTCTTGCTGTGGATCATTAAAATCCCCTTTTCATTTGAGAGATCATCTGTCCATTCCATCTGCAGTGCTTCAATGAAACGACAACCATAACTAATTAACATTTATAATCATATATGGCACTTCTGCATCCTATATCTCAATGTGTTCTTCAAGCCTTATTCCTATTTCAGAGAGGGAGAGAACTGCAACACAGGTGTGGCTTGATTGAAATCATGGTTTGCACAGTGATTAAAAGTAGCTTACTTTCTTGCAAATTATCCCAGGTTAATTTTAACTCATTTATCTGATCTAAATAATGTTTTGTAAGACACAGGTGCTCTGAAAATTTGCACAGTATAAAAAATGCCAAGACAGATATTTCCCAGATGAAGACATTTTATATGCAATACAATGAACTGGGATTGAGGATTGAAAGGTGTTGATATAAACCTTTCTTCCTTAGGAATATCATAGATTTTGAGAAAAGACTGGGAACAGGGTAAGGTGATCATAATGAGGACGTTGGGACACCGCTAGCTATTCAAAAGAAATAGTCACACCTGATTTATTTTGTTTTTTTAATTTCCTTTCTTTGAGTTGTACAAATGGTGACACAGTGCTATGAAAGGAATTTATAATGAATTTGCTTTCTTCCAGTAACTGCTGAAAATCTTACTACAATGATGCCGTTAACTTCAGGTCAGTATCTTTCAATAAATAGAAACTATTTTTTTTTGTCACCAGTACAGCATGAAGAAACATAAAACTTGCTGTTCAGCTGGTATAACTTAGTAAAGGTGCCTTGGCTATAGTTGGGTCTTGAAAGAGAGGGTCGATTCAGTGATAGTTAGCCACTCCCCATCATTTTTGACCATTTGAGAAAGCAGACACCTGGAGTCTGTACAAAAGCTCTAAGAGCTTAATTACTGGATCAAAGGAAAATTGAGTATCCACCAACCAGCTGAGTTGCAAGCTGAAGTTTTTGTGGATTTAAGCAGGTAGATGAGACTGGGGAGAGCTACTCTTATGCTGTGGTTATGAATATACTGGGAAATGTTGATTGATTGATTGATTTTCCTTCCACTCTACTACTGGAAGTCTTATGACAATATGAAGCAGACACATCTTGATCTCACAAATTCACAGAGTGCAAACCTGCAAAAAGTCAGCCAGACAGCTGAATAATACAGTAGGTGCTTTGTAGATACAGATAGGGTTGCCATGTTCAAACTGCATACAAATTATCGTGTATGAATTCTCCAGGACAGGGTGCAAGACCAGGAGCTTCGTGCAACTTATGTGAGCTAAAGATATGCACCTGTGACTATAGGAGCCAAGTACTTGTTGATAGTCTAATTACAACCATAACGAAGAAAGAATTGTTATTAGTTACGGACCTACGAACATGTACAGTCCAAAGTGTATAATTACTGCAGCTTATTCTGAATGATACAGTTAAAACTGCTAACATACAAATTTTCTCCTATTTATCCCTGCCTCTGGTGTGCTATCTCGATGCTCCCGTGAGTCATAAGTTCAATGTTGCCAATTATCCTCAAGAAGAATTGGGGGGGGGGGGGGGGGGGGGGAGAAGAAGTGACAGAGGAAGGACGGAGGAAGGGAGTTGGGATTTGTCAGCACCCCAGGCTGGAAGGAAAATGTTCCTGGTGTGGATTCCTTTTTCTCCCTTTGGTCTTGGGTTTGCCTGGGGTCATTTTTGTGTGTTTGCTAATAATGTCTGCTTCCTTGTTCTTCCTGTTTCACTCCACAATATACCCAAGTATTAACACATTTACATCTCCTGGATGCTTGGGTTTTGGCTCTATTGACCCTAAAACCATCCTTATCCACCTCACGTGTTACTTTAGTGAAACTGCACAGTAACTGAACATTTTCTGTTTGTGCTTATACCACTGATGCCTCTGTCACCTTCCTGTGCTTTTCCTTGCATGTTTTTTGCCGTCAACTTGTACATGCACTATTGGGAGTACCTGTAACAATCCAGATCTCTTTCAACAGTCTTCAAGACATAGCTACCTGTTAATTGTTCTGTTAGAGCTGCTTGCTTCTGCAGGTGTCCATGTTTTAGATCTTTGCATGCTTAATTCCTTCCAAAATAGTGATCTTTAGACACTGTTTAGACAGATATGTAACTAAACACATATATAGGTATATAACATATATGTCTGTGTATATGTATATAACACTTTGACAACTACTGTGAAGGTATGTATGAAGCTTCCTTCTCTGAATGTAACTGAGAACAGTCTGTCCAGCTGCACACTCCCTGCACCTTCTTCTGGACTCTCCTCTCTCTCTGTCAGAGGAACTGTGTTCTTAAACTTGCTGACATAGAATGCTTTGTAATCCATTTAATACATAGTGACCTAGCTTAACTTAATGGTGTTTGCTAGATAAGCATGCTTTAATAGAAAATTGGTAGGAAGTCCTCATACAGGTTTGTGCACTTCTAGGTTTGGGAGAGCAGGAGCATCTAATAAAAGCATGATATCTGATGATCAGCAACTTTTGCCAGCAAAACTGATAGAAAACAAACTATAGAGGCCTTACTATGTCTCTCACTTTATTCCTTCTTGCCTTTCATCCTATGAACTAAGGGATAAGATGAATTAACTGTAGTGACATAGGGATCTTTTTGAGCTGAGTACATCACCATCCTACTCTCATATTTAAGTCAATGTAGAAAGTGAAAATAGTAAAAAGGGATGCTAATGCAAATTCAGAGGAAAAGAAAGACTGTTTGGAAGAGGAAACACCAGGGGCATCCTCAGTAATTGCTATTAAAAGCACCACTAAATGGAAGTTGTGTTGGAGCCATCACAAATGAGCATTCCATTTTCCAGAGTGTTTTGCACTTTATTATCACTAATACAAATCTACTTATGTACCTAGGTATTTGTTCATGTGCAATTATGCATGTATATATGTAAATATACAAAGACTAGATAGTTTGAGGCTCCTCTCCTCACACTGCAATAATTGATTTGTTGAGCAATTTGTGGAGTTATTTATAAGAAAATATATATTTTAGTACTAATATTGAAGTTGTTGTAACTTTTCAGTTTCAGATTCAGAGTCTAACTACAAGCTCCTTCACACCAACTTCAGGTCAGAACTTTTACATACCAGAGGAAGACAAGAAAGAGTTGATACGGCAGAGGGTTTGGAACTAGATGATCTTAAGGTCCTTTCCAACCCTAACGATTCTATGATTCTATGATGCCATTTTAACCAAAAAACTAACAGACAAGCAAAAAAGGTCTTTTGAAGTTAGTGAAAAGCATGTGACTAGAGATAAAAGAATGAAATCTAAAATACACTTGGATTCCATGTTATTTTTCTTATGTTTATTATGACACTTGGCCTTCAGGATCAAGGCCACTCAAGCTGGCACTACTGTACCATTACCTAAGCTGGGATTTGGGGATATAGCAAATAGTGTAGATATAAGAGCAGACTAGCTGCTCTTAGTTCTTCCTAAACTTGGGTTGTATTTTCCCAGGTTCAGGACAGCTCACTACAAGCAAGCCCTCAACAAGTGCAGGTAGGTAACTGTGTATGGGAAGAAGCAGGGAGGTTATATGAAATAGTCTGAGACCTTAGAATCACTTAGAATATACTGGTTTCATACAACCTCTTCTTACGTCATTCAGTTCTCACATCCCATTCCTACAAATGCGTGATATGTAGGTTTACCTTTGATTTGACAAAGAAAACCTCTTCAAAGAGAAGGAAATTCTAAGAGTACATTCTACAAAAATGATATGTGTGTGTATGTTGATATATATATATATTGACATTCATACTCATTTTTGTTTCCTGTTGTTTCTTGAGGCTTTAACAAAAAAAAAAAAAGGAAAAAGCTGTTTGAATCTTTGAAAACTTCCCTTATCCTTATTAAATGGCGAACTATATGTTATTTATAGGCATTTTCAAATGGATCTAATATATTTACTGCCATTTTTAGTTGAGTATAGCAATTACATTGCACTTCAGGGTAATCTGCTGTTTAAAAAAAAAGTTAAATATTTAACTAGCAAATGTTAATTTCTTTTTATCCAGTAGGTGGCAATACTGTTTAGCTTTCTCAGTTGAAGAATAAATTAGACTCAATCATGTTGTATGTAAACAATGTTTTCTTGCATATTGGGCTTGTGCAAAACATATTCATTGCTCATTGTCTGGGTTTCTGCTCTGGGTCTAGAATGCACAGTTTCATCTCTGTTCGTATGTGGCAATTCATTCATTGGCACTGTGTCTCCAACACTTGACTAAAGTATGGTTTTCTTTGATTACCAATTGGATGCAGAATGGCAGCTCTTTTTCTCTACACTGTTTTCATTGCTAGCACTGGAAGTGTTTTGTAAAGCATTTTGAAATGCTACAATACTTCCAAATACATCCAAACCAATTTCAGTCTTTTTCACTTACACTGATATACAATATTATACAAACATCTAGTTAATTTGATAACAGAACTAAGTTTTATGAAAAAAATAAATCAAGCAATAATGCTTAAAGGCTTCAATTTCAGTTTTGCATATTAATATTTTTCCTTTTTACTTTTGCAAGTGCAATTTGAGTGTATTCATACTTGCAATTTTGAACTTTTCCAGTTAGCATTTACCAAAGTAAAGAAAAGGAACTATGTGAATAATACCAGGTGAATAGTTTCCATGGAATTTAATGCAATTATCAAGAATTTTGAAATTAGTAGTTATACAAAGCTCATTTTAGCTGCATATTTTTGTTCACTTTAATAGGACCTGCTTGAATTCTACAGATGTCTAAGACCAAAGAAATCTAAAGACTAAAAGATGATGTTTGCAGTGGATGAACATTTATGCTCTAAGAAAACACTAATACTAAGATTCCACAATTTTAAGGACCTGCCCATGTATTATTTTTGAAGAAATTTGCTCTTAACTTACAAATTTAGTTTGAAAATCTGAAAAGAATAGGGTTTCTGATAATCCTAGTATTTTGAAATCCAGTCTTAAAGTCTTTAATTTTCCAGATATGCTGGTTAAAAAACAAAATTATTTAACATGACAAAGTGCAACATTAGGATAAGTTGAAGAAATGGAAAGTTGAAGAAATTAAATTGTATTCAGCTAGACCCAGAGATTTTCACTCGTATTTAAACCAAAGTACAGTTTTCTCATGTTATTCAAGAGGAAAATATCATTTATTGTATTGCATAAGATAGTCTATTTCTGTAGAGGAAGTAAATGGGAATTCATGGAAATTTTCTGCCAGCCCTACTTCAAGCTTAGTTTCAAAAAATATGTCAGTTCTGAGAACTTCCTCCATTCTGTGCCAAATTTATCTTTTTAGTGTGTGATATTTCACTCCAGGCTTCTGAAAACGCAGTTTTGTAAAACACAATAGAGTGGGTGATTTGATTTGTGCTAAAGTAACCAGAGGTAATTCAATTTTCCTTGGTAGTGAAACAGCATTACTGCTCTGCTGTTATTGCTATTTTCTTTATTATTTCAGCTGAATGTTTGCTACCTGCTGAACTTTGTGATGATGGTGTAACCTGCATTAGAAATGATTTATTTTGTGATGGAATCTTGGACTGCCCAGATAGTTCTGATGAATCTGAAAAAAGATGTGGTAAGAATGTAAATCCCTGTAAATAAGTCTTTTAAACACGCTTAAACCTGTCAGTAGTTAGTAAATAGTTTATAGACAATAAATTGCATAGTGTTTTCTAACAAAATCAATTCTACAAAAATATTAACAAGACTGATTGTTATAATCTTTATGTTGTAAATAGAAACAAATTTCTTTAACTTCTCATTAATAAAGAATATGCTTTTTAAATAATGAAATAATTGAACAAAAATGATAAAATAATATAGGCGTTTCATATAAAGTTGTGTACCAGTAATATCAAATAATGTTCATACAAAATAAATTAAAATTATGACCCTATAAAGATACAAATTCACATTACCTAGTATCAGAAACCCCCTAATTGAATATTTGGAGCCAGAAGAGAGTTTTCTTTTTTGATTCCAGCATTAATATTGTCATATGAAACACTGCAAATAGCTTTTTCTGTGTTACTGTGTATAGTCAGCTACATTGATATTGTACATCCAGAAACTAGATGGGTCAGGTCCTGGCAGCATTTTGTCGTCAGAGCAGGTGAATATGACTGCTGCCACAGCAGGATGTAGCCCTGGCAGGATAACTCTGTGTGTTGGCTACCCACTTGCATCTCACTACATAGTGTCAGGAAATGGGAGTGTCTATATGACTGACGCAAATGTTTGAGTTGCTGTCACCTCAGTGATGATGATGTAAAAATCTGGGCAAGCAGCTCTAGGTGGCCTTGTTTGAGCAGGAGGTTGAGATAGATGACCTCCAGAGGTCCCTTCCAACCTCAACCCTCCTGTAAATCTGTGAAAACCTTACAAATCTGACACCTGATTTTTTTTTTAATAGAAAAAGTTTATATCCTTCAGTGCCAGTGGGTTTATTTGAATACCTGATTGGCTAGTTTCCCTGAGCACCTTTTTGTGCAGAGCAGCCATTGCTCCGTGTAAATAATATGAAGCTGTACCAAGCAATCTACGTTGCTGCTTACCAAAGCTTGTGTGCAGCTTTTTGGTACACAGGAAGGCTTGTATGTTAATGTTGTCTGTATTGATCTTCACAGCCTCGGTTAAAAGCCTGTAAAGTTTTATTGCAGAGAACTTCGCAGATGTTTTAGGAGACAATGGGGCAATTAACTCCCTGAGTGCATTATTTGGTAGTTTTTTTGGGGGGGGGGGGTTGTTCTTTTGTTTTTTGTTTCTTTGTTTGTTTGTTTGTTTTAACTATAGAATTTGTTGCTAGAAATCTGGAAAGCTTATTCCCTTCTGCTGTGAGAGTGCCTTCTGAGCTTTCCTGAGAATAATGGTGAGGGCAGTCTGGTCTGAGCTTTCCAAAACATAAAATGCTGGGCTCTGGTTTAAAAACAAACAAGCAAGTAAAAGACCATTTTTTTTTAAACAAGCTGCAAGCTCGATTCTGAAGGCTGGTGACAGACTGACCCCTTCTGCCAGAAGTGGAAATTTCTTCAGAGAAAATCGCAGACCTGCCCATTACCTGCATTTTTCTGAGTGCAGCCAACTCAGAAGGGTGACTGAGCTGAAAGTTTGGGGAAAATATCCATCCAAATACTTCAGTAGAATATCCACTGAAACACATCCAAATGTTTATTTAGCATAACAGCCACATCCAGCCAGATAACAACGATGGGCTCTGAGCAGGTCCCTTCACAGCTGAGGAAATCAGAAGGTGCTAAAATAAACTCAGCTAGACCTTTGTCCCACTGCAAGCATTAAGGTGGTACAACCACAGTTACTCATTCATTTCTACCATCATACAGTTGTTTTGAGACATGGATTTTGCTTGGTATTTTTTTTTTTAATTATTATTTATTTATTTATTTTATAGATTTTAGATTATTTTTTATTTTATTTTAGATAAGCTAAATAAAAAGTGCATATCCAGATAGTTAAGAAGTAGTATTATATATCTCATCAAAATTAATGCTTTTTAGGTACAAGTTTTGCTCACATTTTATTAAAGTTGTTACAGTCAGGCCTGCTATATAGGAAAGGATTTAACTGTTGTTTACATTGGTAGATACAGACAAAAATAAGCTCACCTACTTGCAGTCAAAGCTCTGTAAATATGACTTAGCTCTGCCCTGGAGGCTACACAGTGGTTTAAGTTATGAATTGTGTTTGAGTAGACATTTTCAGTTGAGGCATAGCTCATGGCTTTTGGATTCAATTCAGGTATCTCCCTGAATGTCTACCATATATAAATTGTGAATGCCTTGCTCCTTTGTAACTGAGGATATAATTTCTTAATCAGCACTTTAACGGTCATTAAAGCATATGCACAACTGAACTGGAAATTTCAGGAATGAGCATACAAATAAAAGTACTCAGACATAAGGAAACCAGCTACAGTTACAGTCCACTTCAGGGAGCTGGATGATGTGCCTGTGTTCACCTTCACTGATGCCTGGTATTTCCAAGCAATTCATTCAGCTACCATTAGTTTCTCAGCTTCAGCTCATAACCTTGCAGAAACGCAGTTCTGGCTGGAGGACAGATTGTTGCTCCATGACTCCTACATTTTCAGTCTTAAAATTTTCCATCCAAAAACTCAGAGCTTTTCTAAATTTATATATTTAAGTTTTTTAGCAGACTTCGCAAAACCAGTGGAATGAGTGGCAATAAGCAGTATGCATGTTTGGGATACCTGCCAATTTTTCCACCTCTTTGATATTTAATTTATGTCCAAACCCTAGACTAACAATACAGTCATATAAAAGCTAAAATGGCCTAGATTTTCAGGAGTGTTTCAGAGTTTCACAATGAGATTTACAGCCAATTCATGTTTCGTGCTATAAGTGCTCTTGCACATAACAAAGTTGCTGCCCTTTAAACAACTGGGTTTTTTTTTTTCATCTTGATGATTATTTCCTCTAGTAATTCTGATTTTAGAATATGTTAGTGGCTTTAAAATATAGGATACAAGGATGAATTTTAATAGGTTTTTTTTCCTGCATTAGACTGAATTCAGTATAATCTCAGATACTCAGCAGAGATTCAGACAACTGAAAACCTTCATTTCTTTGGGTTTATTGATTAAAATTATCTTGAAAGGTTTCTTTGTGGCTCTGCAATGCAGTGCAGTAACAAAAGGTATTGCAAAAGTGCGGTTGGGAATTTCAATGAAAGGATCTCCAGAGAAATGTGAAAGTCTGAATAGCATCTATTAATAATGATTAGCATTGCTGAAAACAGCCATGAAGAACCTAAGTGTGAGGAAAGGGAGACTGGAGGCCGATCCCAGGAGGTGTTTTTCTCTGCAGACTTTCTTTGCAGTTATCATATGTCTAGGCTAACATTTTGTGATTACCTACCTCACAGCACTACAGTAATAAGAGATCAATCATATGTAAGTCAGGAGGAAATGTACTGCCCTTGGCAGAGAAAGGTCCTGTCAAGTGAAATATGTGGGCTTGATCTGAGCAGTTTGGGGAGCTTCTCCCTGCAATTCAAGGATAACAGGATTAAGTCTTCCTAATGTGCACTGTATGTAACATAAGTAAACAGGAATGTACAGCAAGGTGCATGATGGGGAAGCAGGGAAAGTGGTTCCTACAAAAGATGTCTCCTGTCTGATTAGCAGAACAAATAAGCTTTTCCTCAGGGCTCCAGGAGGACGCAGAAGTATAATGACTTCTGCCCCTCTTAGACCACACCTGTTTCTGCAACAAGGAACTTCTAGGAAGTTCTTCAGGGAAACAGAATCATAGAAACCTGGAATGGAATCCTGGGTTGGAAGGGACCTAGTTCCAACTCCCCTGCCGTGAGCGGCGACACCTTCCACTACACAGGGTTGCTCAAAGCCCCAACCAACCTGGCCTTATGTACCTGGGACACAGATCTCCACAAGACCTGGGTAACATGCCAAGGTTTGGTGTTTTTTTTACTTTCAAAAAGGCTGAGTGGAGGTAAAGAACAAATGTTTTCTTTCTATACACCTTCTAGAAAAAGGCAGAGAGATGTAATGCCAGTCCCAGCTATCTTCCTGCTCATTCCTGAGACATTCTATTGCTAGACTCTGGATGAGCAGCCTAAGGACCTTTGCCTGAATCTTGCTGTCCTGTTGCAAGTTACTTACTGTCTCTTAAGATATAAGAAGAAACAAATAAGATGAAACAAGAAAAGCAGAAATGAATTTTTGACAACAGCAAACTTCTATCATTAATTTTATTACAGCATTATGCTATATCTATTTTTATTACTGCCAGTGCTATAAACTCCTTTTTAGCTCAGGATGTGTATTGCTAACCACTTGTTAACAGTAACACTTTTTTGCATACTTCATTAATAACAAACTGGGCACTTTCCTTCTTACACTGATTTTATTCTTCTCAATGGGAAGTGGTTGCAAATATCAGTCCATTGGTAAACATATGAATTAAAATGGACAGAAAAAATACTTCTATACCAATACCCAGCTCTAAAGCTGTAGCTTTTTCTGAAAAAAAGGGTTATATAGAATAGTAACTCTCTTTCATGGGCCTTTTTCTCTATGTATTTAAAATTTTATGTGTTCTGTTTTCCTCTTGAAGGCCATGAAGATTGCAAAAGGGAATATGTTTCTATTCCAGCTCATGCATTAGACATATCATCATTAATAAAGTTCATTCTGCACTGTCTTTATTAACAGTACATGCCTAAGCCTGACTAAAACAAAGCTTGATTTTTATGTTGTGTTTGCTACAGTGGTAGTCAGAAAGAATTTTACACTTAGAAAATGAACAGACAAGGAGCTCCAATTTATCATTTTATATAGCATTTCCCACAGGAGGATTATACTCAATAAAATTTCCATTTAATTATCAATATGATTGAGTAGTCATAATTTGGATAGTCATTATAGGTATGATTTCATTCCTGATGTTAATGAAAAACTCTATCTAATTTCTGATTATCTGCCTCAAATTGATGAACTTGTCCTTACCTCTCCAGATAATCATGTATGGTACTGATTTTATTCTTATTTGAAAGCTGTATTATGATTTCTGAATAACTGAAGAAAAAATATTAGACTTATTCCTAATGTAATGTTCAAGAGATGCAGCAAAAGTTTCAGCAGTGCCTTTGTGTCTGCTGAAAAAAAAGCAACTCTACATGAATTAATGTTTCCAATCTTGCTGAGGCTTAAAAAGATATTTTTTTTAAGTAACTTTTTTTTAAACTGAAAAATGTGCATAGAATGGACTAGCAGCACCAAGGAAACCAAACTAATAAAAGCTTTTGAAAAACTATATGATGATGGATGACATTTACCTCAGATGAATGAATTTGATAGCTGGCAGGAAAGTACTCAGTAATATATAAAGCAAGGGACAAGGAAGATCACAGAAGCAGAGATAGCAATAGTCAACCATATCCTTTCTTGCTTTTATTCACATAATATCATATTGTTTCTGGTAGTGCAAACACAGTTTCCTGATTTAAAGTAGCTGTAGATGAGAACTGCAAAGGCAAGGTCCTGTTTCCTTATGCATGTGTAAAATAAAACCAAAGAAAGAGATTTGGATTAATTGAGTCTAACTGTTGAATTTGAAGTATTTGGTTTGGACTAGTTTGGATTAATTGGATTGTCTCTAATTTAAAAGTAAATTATCTGTACTGCTTTTCTTCTCCTATAGTGCTTTGAGATCAAATAGCCATAGGAATTTTAAGTGGGAGTAAGTTTGTCGTGTGTTTTATTTTGTCTTTCCATTGTTGCTTACAAATCATTTCCAAGGTAATACAGGTAAACCAATGTCTAAGTTCACTCTTACTTTGGTTCTGATTCTGTTTTTCAAATAGCATTTTGACAAATGTGCTTCACTGTATCTTTACAGCTGCAGTTTGTGATGGAAAATTTATGTTGACTGATTCCTCTGGGTTTTTTCACTCTATGAATTACCCAAAACCATATAATTCAAACATCATTTGCCAATGGATTATACTGTAAGCTATCTTCCTATAATTTTCTACCTTGCTTTTTTATTATGAAGTGATATTGTTTCCTGCATATCAAATTTATGCCATTTGTTTGTATTCCCAAACACCCGGTATGGAAAATACGTAATAAACCCCACAAATATGTCAATAATTTTCCCACATACAAAAATTCTTAGGTATGATTTTGAAAAATCTTGTGTATTGTATACATGCACAAGAATATATTTGTAAGCTCAAAATAAATCACATAATTCAAAATAATTGCAAGATATTTGTTTCAAAGTATTAGAGTAAATGCTAGTCTTTAGATAATGGGTTTATATGATATAACTGTTAGTAATAGATGGAATTTTCAAGAATTCCCTTGTTATTTATGGGTATGCTTTTCTGGGAGTTAACAGCACCTTCACTTCTAAGTAATTTAAGAATATGTTTTAAAAGTGCATGAGTATTATTTGACATAATAGCACCAAATGCCTTTTAAGCCTAGACACAAGAAGTAGAATTGATTTAATCGAGAATATATGCCTACATGAAAAGACAGCTATTTGACTGACACTCTAGATCTACTTCATAGACCAGGGAGAAAAAAGATAGCCATAGTATGTGATAAATCTCATTCTAAAGTACACATCTAAATTAAGTTAGATGATTGCAAGCTGGAAGCTCCTGAAAACCCCTACAATGACTGCCAATTCAGAAGTTAATGCTTTGAAAGGCAGTAATTCTTATGATGGTTTTGTAACACTGGCTATTCTTTGATTCTGAGAACTATTAGTTTGGTAGAAAAGTTTCAAAGGAGATTAAGGAAATGCCTTTAAAATTGGATAAAATTTGGACTTTTCATTTCCAAGGCTCCTTTGAAAGTGCTAGTCTTTGAGTTTGTTCAGGTCTTTTATCTTCAAAAAAAACTCATGGTTTTCTTTCTGTTGAATACATTTGTTCCTTCTCACCTTCAGCAATACTGTTCACCAATTATTACTGGGTACACTGGGTTTTGAGAAATAGGTGTGTCACAGGAAAAACACAAATATTATTCAGGATATAAGCATGTTCCTCAATTCGTGGTCGCAGAATTTAAGCATGCTAATTTAATTGTCTCAATTGTACTACTTCCTTCTAAGATGTTAATTTTGTTTAAAATACTGCTGTAGCTGCATGAAGCATTGTATTACGTAGATAGCTGCACCAGGCATGTAGCTAACAAAAACTTAATTTTGTAAGGAATCATGCAACTAATATAGTACAAGTGCTGCAAATATGTGTTATTGCAGATCGATTAATGGCAAAAACCTCCATTTGATTTTATTTTCCAGTTATCTGCTTTCAAAAAAAATCTGGCAACTGACAGTAAAAGCATAAAAAATTCCATGCGGCACTCAAATTTTGTCTCACTTTTAAACAGAATTGTGTCTATGAGGGAACTTTTGGGTTTTTCCATTAATAAATAGGAGAGATTTTGTCCCATTATTTTTATTATCCCTATAAAAGTGTGTTTGTATTAAGAGTCATCCTACATTACATCCAAGATTTTATTTCTCTTGTTCCTTTCTTTGTCTAGAAGGATTTCCCCATTACCTTTAGGAAAAGCTTGTATATTTTCATCCCATTTTACGCCTCCCCATATGAAGATGTAATTTCCTCTCCTTTTAAAGGAGCAGTATGCTTAATATTTCCTTGAAACATTAGCTTCCTTTCAACTTTATGTTTTACCCTTTACAAACCACAGATACTGTTTCCCTATAGAGAAATATATAACAAAAAAAAGGGCAAATAGAAATATCCAGATATTTACTTCATGCTCCTGTACTAATTGGTACTGATAAGCATCAGCAGGTTGCTGTTGAAAAGCTACCTTTCACTGGGTCTCTCAATTCCGGAAAACAAGAAGTCATGGTATAGGAAGCTAAATGGAAATGGACTGTGATGACAGAATTTGGACTACCATATATGCTTATTGGAAAGGCAATGGGAGAGCTGCTTAAATATAGCTTATGGAAAGAACATAGCATCTGCAAAATAAACCCATCATATTTTTATACTTCAGTTAAAGTGACTTTTGTTATTAAACTTATTGGGTGATGGTTAAGTTTGATAATATGTTCCCAAACAGTGGGTTTGAGATCTTCAAATCTTCATGCAAATCCTTGTTTTGTTATGAGAAATATTATTTTGTACTTTCAGGAGAGAGATTTTAATTTGTTGTTGTTCTTATTGATACCATGATATAAATTCTCTGACCTTAGGAAGTCTACCTGAGCAGTGAGATGTAATCTATTAGTAATGTATTAAAAAGTAACTGTAGATTAATGAAATGCAGAAGGGGGGAAAAAAATAACCCTAAAAAAAAAAAACAAACATAAAAAGCTGGCTGTTCAGATGAATATCTCATTCTAGAGTTTAGAAGATTCAGTTCCTAATATACAGTTAACTACAGTAAGTAAAGGAGTACTTATAATGTTACCAAAAAATTATGCCCCATTCCTTTGGTAATTTTACAAACTAGAAATTAACCAAATAGGTTAGTAATCTTGATTAATGTAATTTCACATCGTTTCTGAATTTAACATCATTGAATCACACAATGAGCTTACTGCAGTCAAAGAAAAAAATAAATATTAATAGAACATGAATTTCAGTTTTGAGGTTTATTTTTCTCTTGTTATCTTAGGGTGCCTCAAGGGCTATCCATTAAACTGAACTTCACTTCCTTCGAAACACAAAAATATGCAGACAATTTAAATATTTTTGAAGGTATAGGACAAAACAAGATTTTAAGAGGTAAGGTTATTTTTGAGCTAATACTCATTTTCCATTAATAAAATCTAAGTGGTAAAATAAGCATTTTGAAGTGAAAAAAAACGGCATGCGTAGGTTTAAATAGAAGAATGCATCTGCGTAAAGTTACCCTGTTAGGCAATTGATCTCAGTATACATATCTGGATACTTTGTATACATTTAGTATACATCTAGTATATATTTAGTATACATTTAGTGTACATCTAGTATGCATTTAGTATACATTTAGTATACAAAGTGACCAGATAAGTGATTCTGTAATATATTAAGAAATCTGCTTGGGTTTAAATCTTATTTAAACAATTTTATAACTTGATCAGAGCCATGGTCTTGTGGTGTCCATTTTTCGTGGGAAGTATATTGCCAGAAGAACATGTAACATCACACACATTAACATAAAATGAAAGCATCTATACTGAAATGGGAGTACTATGATACTCCTTGAAATTCATTACAAGCATAACATAACAAAATTATGTGATCAGTCCTGTGATTCTAGAGTTTCAGAGTGCATACCTGTAAATTTTGAAAACTTTTACAGCATAATAAGTATGGATATGAAATTTGTAGTATTGAATATGTGTACTGTAAGAGGTATGAGAGATGGGATATGCAGAATACTTATATGGTAGCCAAACAACTAAATGCCTTCAGAGTTCTGAAGGTACTGTAGGCAGGATCACAGTAGAAGAGGGAAAGCATTCTTTAAGACTCAAAAAGCTAATCCACTATATTTTTATGACAGCACTGGGGATTTTAATGTGCATAGGATTGTTTTCTCTCTGACTATATGATTATTTATTTGTCCTCAGCTTCTCTGTCAGGGACTAATCCTGAGACAATTTACATTTTTTCTCATGAGGCTACAGCACAGTTCATATCAGATTATTCTGAAAATTACAGCGGCTTTAATGCAACATACTCTACATTTAATGCAAATGAACTAAACAGTAAGTGTTCCTTTTTTGTATGGTTTTACACTTCAGTGTGTGTGTGGTATTTTTATCCCGAGAGCCTGGTGAAAGTGTATTTTTAGTTTGACAAAGTGGAGATGAAAAGGGAAGCAGTATTTTCCGGCCTTAGTCTACTAATTAGATCCACTTTGTGAAATTTCATGCTATTTTAAAGATAAAATTGTTGATTTCAGTCCACAGTTTTACAGGCCTGTATCTAGCAGTAGGGTGATGCCTTACAAAGTTAATTGGGCCATATCTCCATCAGATTCTTCTCAGCTACTTTGTTCACTAATGAACACTGTTGAATCACTGACACTGATCATTATTCTGTTATCACCTGACAGTACCTGCTCACCAGGGTTTCTGATGGCCTGAATTGTTGCCAGGAGTAGTAGTTCCAAAAGGTAAAATTAACATTCAGGAAAATTCCTGCTTCAGTAAATGGACACTGGAAATAAGTCCACATGCAATAAATCTACAGTGACAACCAAAAAAAAAAACAATGTGACTCATGAATTAGCGTTTTTTGGTAGTTGAGGAAAAATTTACATGCAGATTGGAGAAGTGAAGGCTTCTTCAGCTGCTAAATTTTGAGAAGGATGTGAATAGGGGATGTGACTGGGAAGGGATATGATTCAGGAAATATCCAGAGTGCCAGCAAGCTCTTGTCATGTGGAAGCCCTTACTGGGAGCAGACCAGCTCTCCAGAGCACCATGAAAAGACATTGAACAAAATATCATGACAAGTAAAGTGATTAGGATGTTGCAGTAAATACATGTGAGCAAAGAAGGAGTAAAGGAGAAGGACATGGAGAGGAGCATCCTTGGTGCATAGCACTCATGTGAGCACTTGGCTCTGGTGGTGGGTCCTTTCAGCTGAAGCAATACAGGCCTTGGCAAAGAAAAGAGGAAAAGAACAGGGTTAGCCTTTTGTGTTAACTAAGCAAAGGGTCCTCTCTTGTTCCCACAACACACTACTGGTGAAGGATCAAAAAAGAAGGTTGATGAATGAATGCAAGAGCATGTAGAGCCACCTTCAGCAATAGTGCTTTGTTAACAAGTACGAATGGCAAATTTATTTGAGTAATTATGTTGCATTGTGTAGACAAAACTGAGTCACTGCTCCAGTTTTCAAACAGATTTAAAAATACTTGTCACCTTGCATAATTCTGTGAAAATACTTCACATCTCTGTCATTTTTATTTACTAGCGGTTCTTTTTCCCAGATTATGAGAAAATCAATTGCACTTTTGAAGAAAGCTTTTGTTATTGGATACAAGATTTAGATGATGATTCAGACTGGGAAAGAATTCAGGGTCCTACTTTTCCCCCTATGAGTGGTCCTGATTTTGATCATACATTTGGCAACATGTCAGGTAAGATCAAATACAAGTTGCTTGCAGGTAAAAAGGAAAAGCTTGATTTAGCTTATGTTATATCACTATACAATGGATTTTTCATAGTGGTATTATCAAGATGTAATTTTATTCTGCCATAAAAGTGAGTCAGGACCACCAGACAAAATATTTTATGCTGCTGGTTGCCATCTTGTGGAAATGTACCAAAATTAAAAGAAGAAATAAAGAAATATATAAAGGGATTAAAGTGTGAAGTATTGAAAATTGTCAATCTTAACAGTATGACAAAGTGCCTCATCTGAGAAAGGGATTTCTGTTATGTAACAGTTTTATAAGTCAAATAACTGCATGTTTACCTTAAGGAAAAAAGCAAGCATAGTTACCTTCAAGGGAAATCACTTCTATTTCATCCCTGTCTACAGGTGACAACCTCATGGCTGTCACAGAATAATTGTGATCTAACAGAAAGTTGACCTTCAGGGTACAGAGGGCACTTGTGTCCCCAGTTAGAATTGCACACCAAACGCAATAATTTAAAACACATACAAAAGAAAATTAAATTATTTAATAAATTATTTGATTAAAATATTAAATTATTTTAAAATAATTTAAAACATGTATAAAAAACACAAACACTCCAGCAACTGCCATAGTGAAACAGCTTCATTGTAAGTGATCATATCAAACATGTGCATTACTTAGAGACATACTGATGATATGAATCAGATTTCATATAATGACTATATGTGTATCATGACTGCTTATCCCAGAATAAGACTCCAAAAGTTTTTTTCTGCTTCAAAATGAAACCCAGTCTGTCTCAGCTGATTTGTCAGTCCAGCTAAAACTAATTAAATTAATTTGGCTCTTGCAATGGCTATATGTATTCTATCCAAGAACGCATACTTTCTAAGTCAGCACATGAAGTAAAAGGCCATATTCAGATTTCAGACTAATTGTCAGGTACTTTAACATCCCACATGAAAAAGCTAGCTAATCTAGAAGTATAAATTACAGAATAGAGTATATATAATTTAAATTATATCATTGCATTTATTTTTAGATTCTGTAAATATAATATTTGCATATGTTATGTGATAGACCAATCAAAAGATCTATAGAATAAAATCTAAGATTAAATCCATGATGTCAATAAAGCAAGGATCTTATTTTAGGTCTTTTAACTCTGCCTAATTTTGCTTTTCCTGTGACAAATCATGATGCTTCTGTAGCTTGGAGTCACATTATATTTCCATATGGCAGCAGAAGTCCAAATTCCCAGCTGCAAGGAATTAACTCAGAAAAAAACTAAAACCCCAATTTTCTTGTTTAAAATGCTTCACCTTGGTATGAAATATTCATTCAGTCATTCTCTCACCCCCTCAATATGCAACCCATATTTTGCATGAAAAATTGTATGGGTAAAAAAAATTATAAAAATGCCAGGAAATTCTTCTGTAACATCACAAGCAATGCAAACTGGGAGACATTTTTATAAACTAAATAGAAATTGCTCATGTGAATTGCTGCCCTCACTAAATAAAAGCCAGATCTCTCACTGACTTTAAAAAGACTAGTTTCCCATTTCATGTCTAGTTCTGTGGAGTGTCCAACAAGCTTAAAAGCTCATTTTAATCTGTCATTGACTGATGAATATAACTGGTGATAAACATTCACATTTATTGTGTCAGAAATCTTCCAAGTCATGGAACACTACTTGTGCTTGATTTGTAAAATGTAAAAACTCTCATTAAAAAAAAAAAAAGTCTGTAATTCTGACTAAAATGTCCTCATTACCTTGCAGGATTTTATATTTCAACACCCATAGGACATACATTCAGAGAAGAGAGAGTCCAGATTCTGAGTCTACCTTTGAATTCTTCAGATTTATCTTGTCTAAGCTTTTGGTATTCCTACATAATATCTAAATATATACTTTGCTTAAAAATAAAACCAAATAGCTTTCTTCATATATATTATTAAGACAAATCAGTGTGCCAGGAATACACACCTGTTTCTGTTTGGATTTCCATGGTCAGTCTCAACTCCAGGCCTGCAACTTTGACTCCTTTATAGGTTTGATTCTTGCAGTTAATTTTAATATGTTTTCTTTTTCACCCTGGATCAAATATTCACGTCTATACAGAAATTACATTAAGAATCCCTGAAATATTTCTTGTCATGAAGCTTATCAAGGCCTCTGCAGAAAATATAGATAGTACCAAGTAAAACTTCCAGGTATAATCTAAACATATGATTAATTTTATTTTCATGCTAACTACAAATTTGTCCTAATTCCATAAAACCATTTATAAGAAGCTTGATGGTTTTTTTTCATGAAAACTCACTTTGTTCTAATAACACTAAAATTACCTCTATCCTTCTAGGTATTTCATGTATGGTGCTAATGTTTATTGTTTAAGAGTGAGCATAAGTAATGTGCATGGTTTGGAAAAGATCATTTTCGAGAAAAAAGGAAACTATGGGAAAAACTGGAATTATGGACAAATAACTTTAAATGAATCATCTGATTTTAAGGTTTGTAATATTACTAGTTCTTTTTAAAATTTATTTTAGCTAAACTGATATCAGAATTTTCTGCCAAATTAACCCAATAATCCACAGCTCCAAAGATAATATCTAGTACTATTTACTAATACATGCTAGCATGCAGAAGACTAGAGTCCCCATTAGAGTTGCCATCCCCCCTCCTTCTTCATTACTCAAAGTAATTTGAAGTATTACTTTTCTGGAAAACAGAAAACCTTAACGTCATGGGACAATCAGTGTTATCACAACAGAGAGCTTTCCACAAAACAAGGGTGTTTAAAACCTATCAAAATCTGAAGTGGAGGTTATAATCTCAATAGTGAATGCAATGTAAAGCATTTAGGCATGAGAATATTTAAATTAAATGACTTCAGAATCTGAAGCAGTACTTTCACTAATTGATTGGAGAATCACACACTGAAAGTGTGTTCCAGATGAAAATGTATCTGGCGCTGCATGGTTAACAACCAACCCGATCTATCTGTAAACAAAAAGGAGGAGACTTCTGCTAGGTAATTCCTTCAGCAACTCTCTATTGAAAACAATTTCTTTTTATAGGTATTTGGGATGGCTTGCCTTGCTATAGTAGTTTTGATTGATGCAAAAGCGCTGCCAGAAAGAGGCATTTACTATCTGAGAAAGTAAATGCATCTGTGACCTGGCTGCACCGGATTTCCAGCAAATGTGTGTTTTATGATCTCAGGAAGAGTACTGTACCTAGCTGTATTTCACCAGCACAAATTCCTTGGTAGCAGGGTTACTTTAGATCTGTAGATATTAACAAATGAGATCAATTTCAATTTTTCACGGAGATATGCCATTGGATCAGAAGTTTGGACTGACGGCTGATACAGAGTTTGCATTTCAAAAATTGCATGTATTTATATATAAAAAGTAAAGTTACTGAGTCATGTTCATCATTTATATGAAGAGTTCCTGCAGTCTTAAGAAATATCTACTCGGTTGGCATGGTGCTGGATTTTTTTTTGCAAGGAATTCTGTTTTCTCCTTGATGCCCTTCTTTGAGTGATGCACCAGTGTAGGTTACAGTGGAAATAAGAGCAATCAAGAAAGACAAAATGATTCAGCATAGGAAGGTCAAAAATGTTTAATTAAAATATAAAATTCTATTTTTTTTTTCAGGTTATTTTTGATGCCTTTAAAAGACCTGGTCTCAGTGATATTGCCGTGGATGACATTGGCCTGACAAAGGGGAAGTGTAATGACAGTATTTATGTAGAGCCAACTGTGATTCCATCTATTACTGCCGTCCCTTCAGGTCCTAGTAAGTAAACACTAAATTACAGTTAGTTGACTGCCATTTCCTATTAGTATTTTGGTATGAGCGATTCAGAATTTTCTGCCTTCAGTTTTATAAAAATCTCTCTTCAGCATTATAAAATTATCTTCAGGATAACAAACTTGGGGTCAGATTCTCTGCCTATAACTTTGTTGATAGTAACAGGTCTGGTAGATTCACAGCTTAAGCTATTATCAGTACAGTATCTTCCAAAACTTGAAGCCTGGAGAATAATGAAATAATTAAAAAAATGTCTCTAAAAACTTTAATTAGTAAAGCTGCCAGAAAGCCACTGAAGAGAAAGGAAGATGAAAAAGAAGGAAGATTATAACCTCTCTATTTGAATGATAAGCAATGTAGCAGGATAACAAGAGAATGAGCAAAGTCACATGAAAATATCACTAGAGGTCTTGATTCACCAAGGTCTGAGAACACACACACACTGAAAACTCCCACATTTAGGGGAATGAGTCTATGAAATAGTGCAAGAATGTTTTAAGAGTGGAGCAAGATCTATGTGAATGTCTAATACCCAAAATGGAGGTATTATCACAATGAATGAGTTCTTTCCAATATATATTTGGCCATATAGTTATTCCTACTGTATCTGATGACATAAAATAAAGCAATATTTGCTTTATAAAAAAATTTAAATAGGGAAACAGAAAGGACACAATGGCAGTTAGTTCTGGTTTTGGAGGAAATGAGTGGACCAAAAAGAAAAACCCCAGAAAACAATCAAGGGACTCTTTCCACTTTCTTATCTAATGAGAGATTTCACTATATGCATAAATTATTGAATCTGTCAAAACCAAAGCCTGATTTCTTCAATTTTGCTTTTGGTAACTACTACTTGTGGTAAGGCAGCAGTGATGAATAAGTGATTGACCTAGTAATAATGGATAGGGCTTTTTTTCTGCTTGATCTCGTTTCATCTCACTACTTTTCACCTCTTCCAAATCCCAGGTTCAGGGAAAGAGAAGGAAATAGGAGGAGAGCTTATTTTGTTTATTCATAGTTGCCATCAGCTCCAAGTCAAGTAGAAATTAATGGAACATGAAATGTTGTTACCTAAAGTGCATATGCACTTCTCCAAACAGGTTATATAGCTTGATCCAGACCCATCAAATTGCAGAGTCATTTAGAGGAAAGCACAGACATGTAAGCTTCCTCAAAACATGCCAGTTTCACTGAGCTAGTTAGCAGAATCTCACTGAGAAAAATATACAAAAATACCTGTTGCCATCATTATACATCTGGAAAATATATCTAAAATGGTGAATAAAAATTGCATACAATATTAACCAGATCCACACGCATTCAAAGCAAAAACTGGTACAAATATAAATAGAACCTGTGGAAAGCATTAAAAGATCCAATAGGGCCTTGTAATTTATGTAAAAGAAGAAGAGATTTCTACAAAAGACCTACTCACAGCTGGCTTCAAATAATCAAAACAGACAGTGAGTATGTTTCAGGATTGCCTCCTGTTGGATTTACTGTCACTTACAAAGCACAATTAGTTGCTGTTTTGACAGCATATAGTAAATAAAAATGGTCTAAAATTGAAATAATAGAAAAAGACTGTTTGCATTGTATTTATGTTGAAGTACTGTGTACTAATATTGTCATTCTATCAAATCTATCACCTTTAAATCTACTGCATCAGGACAGATAAGAAACCAAAACCTTCTAAATATAAGAGCAAAATTCTGGTTTTGGAGCTCCATCTTGAGACACGGGAAAGTAGAGTTCAATAAGATGCCTCTGTCAGCAAAATTAAATTTTAATAACACTAGTAATTTCAGTCATAAATCATCAAAGTCAGTTTTGGAATTTAATTGGAATTTTCATAAAAGTAATACAATGCAGAGGTGTTGATGTCTGCTACCTCCAGCTGTCTTTCAGGTGCTGCGGGTAAACACCTCGCAAGTTAGCATCAGTCTAATGGTTAGTGGTATTATGACCCTGTGGTAAATAGTTGCTGGGTGCTGCTGTCAAAACACAAGAGAAATGTCACTCAAACTATAGGGCTCTACCCCAAATATGGTGATCAAGTTTTAATATTCAAAATAAGGAAGTGGTCACATAGCATATAACTCCTTTTCAAGCAGATTAGAGAGGATCCATACTGTTCTTCTATATGATAGAATAGCTCAGGCTAAGCTGTTGCTGCGGAAAAACTAACTTGTTTTCATAACTTTATTGAGGTGTGCTATCTATATGCTGCCTGTAACCTGCTAAAAAATAGTGAATGTTATCAGTCATCTTCAAAGAAGCATGAAATTACTTTGATGGATGTGGTGCAAGCTTTCTAACACTAATGGTTTCAATACAAACATCATGTCTATAAACAAGAGATGAAAGAATGTGAGCTAAGCCAATTTCTTCTGCTAGACTTAGAGCTTTAGTAAGAGGCACTGGCATCATTCACAGTGCCACAAAAGCTCATTGAAAAGTAAAACCAAATCTTTGGTGGTGTGATAGAGAAGCTGGATTTGCTTTTGTCTTTTGCACAAGACTGTCAGCTTACACTTTCATCTAAAACAAAGACTGCTTTCATCTTCATATTCATTTATAACCTGTCTTTTAACACAAACAACAGTGTGGAAATTACCATGTAGATTACACACTTAAGATGTATATGTCAAAATAAATTAAAATGTTGACCAATACACAGAGGATTTTCTTTATGAATAGGTCATATGTAATTTTCTTCAGTGCTGAGAAAAATTGTCTATTATGCTCAATGATAAACCATTTGTGCTGATTACTATTTGGTTTCTAACAAATGACAGCTATATGAATAACTCCATATAAATTTGAATTTAAAGATCATCAGAAATTATTAAAACATTTTTCCATGCATTAGTAAAATAAATTCTTTCTAGTTTTTTGATGTAAGAAAAAAAAAAGATCATTATTAATGTGGCTTACATGTGGTCAACACGAGAGCAGATTTCATTATAAATTGCACCTGTTCTTCTATTAAGAAAGTTGTGTATGTTCTGCTCATATTATCAGATTACGCTGACTAGGAGTCATGTTTTTTATGCAGCTTTACAATGGTTGTGTCTATTTGTACATGCAATAACATTCTATTAAAAAAAAAGCCAATATAATATTTATTTGTTGTTAATTGTATTTACCGATAGTCCTCATTGTGAGCTATAACTGAAACATAATACACTTGTTAATTAGTGTGTGGTTGTTAGCAGTTCCTTTTCCTTACAAGAGTTTGCCTTTTTCTTGCCAGGAGTGATGTGGTGAAATAGAAAGTTCTGTGGCATGGTTGTCATGATGAAGTGATAAAGTTAAAATCTTTCTTGTATATATAGGAGCTTCCATGCAGTGCGATTCAATGAGCAAACTCATTAGGACTCGAAGATTATGCGGTCTCCAACCAAGTGGTTCAGATTATGGAACACTGATAAGGCATAATGAAACACAAAATTTCAGCCATAATGTGGGGGCAGGGGGAATTGTTAAAGTTTAGCCAAATTCTGAAAGTTAAAAAAAAAATAAAATATTTTAATTCAAAGAATAAACAAACAACAAAGCAAAATTTAAAACGTAAATTTCTTTCGCCTTAACTCCTAATTCCTGAAGTAGGTGAAGGAGCACTGTTTATTTTTGAATAAAGTAATTGTAAACAAAAGAAGTGGGAAAACACCAAAGTTCATTAAGATGGTACAGCTGAACTAAAAATAAATAATATTTCTCAACATGAAGTGAAGTTTTGGAATGGGAAGCTGCATATTTTGGATGTAAACTGCCATCTAAACTATATATTGAAAGAGACTATTGAGTAAATAAAGTACAATCAGCTCTTCGTGTGAGTGCATGTATCTGTACATACATATCTACAATAATTGCTTATAAATACATTTTATTTGTTTTTATGTATAAGTGCATATACATGTTTATGATTAAGATGTCAATAAGAAAATAATAAATAAGTAGTTCTTATTGGAGAAGTTGTTTCAAAGAAAAAGCAAATGGCCGCTTTTACCATTTAGAGGGTTTAACTGTAAAAGTTTTTGGGTCCTGATGAAATCAAAATGACAGTATAATGGGTTTTTTGCTATAAAGCTTATTTGCTATGTGACAAAATGTGCTTCATACTTGGCTATCAGGTAATGCTGCAAGAAGATGAATCAGATAATAAGCAAGGCATAAAAGCTAAGTGCATAAATAAGTTATACTGGGGGGGGAACTTTCATCTGTTTCTTTGACATTTTCTAGCTTTTCTATTAATGTAATAGTAAATTATACAGTTGATTATAATTTATTAAAGGATGTATCACATTCTTTTATTATATTTTCTGCCATGTGCACAGCAGACCAATAATCACCAAATGAAAGACAGACTGTGTCCTTCCCCTAACTACACGGGGAAGACTTCTCATGGCATGATCATGAATACAGTTGTGCATCTGGGCACTAGCACTTCACAAATAGCAGTATAAGACCTATAGCTGTAACACTGCAGCACTGACTGCATGAGTCAGCAGGTCTTAGACACTGTAACTAATAAGAACAGTGAATTTCTTAGAAACCTTATTTCTTCAATGCTCTGTGTCCTTACCAGAGTGTTGGCTTCTCACAACTCATTGTTCAGGCTCTATATCAATAGCACTGCAACTCTTACCCTTACAGTGATGAAGTTAGCTTGAATACCCTCTTCATAAAATTATTTTCTTCCTATCTTTTTAACAACAAATTGCAAAAATAAGCAATAGGCTAATTACGTTTTTGAAATGTTTTCTTTTACAGCTGACTGTGGAGGGCCGGTTGAACTCTGGGAGCCAAACAATACCTTCAGCTCTGAAAACTTTCCAAACAATTATCCTAATCAAGCTTCTTGTAAGTCATTCTTCTCCAACTTTTCTGAAAAGAAGTTTAGCTATATAAAAAGTAGGCATACTAAATCTGCTTTCCTAAGTCAAATGCTGTCAAGCAAAAAGATCTAAGCTATATACAGTAGGACCTTTTAACTGAAAACTCTATGGCTTTTAGCAGAAGTTAAGGAATCATGTTCCAGTTGATCAAAAAGTGATGAAGACCAGCATAATCCTTTGGAATGGGTTCAGACAGGCCAGTTCTGTCATGACTATTATGTCAAATATCTTTATGTCAATGTAGCAACAGACAAGGTGCTGAGCATCCCCATTTTACCATTATACCTCAATATAGCTGCCAGGTTAATGTCATCATCTCTTCTGTTAAATAGTTAAGCTTTTCTAGGGCCAAAGAATGTGTGTGTACATTTTGCAAAGGATCCTCTCTTTGTAGAGTGTTTCTTAACACACTAGTGAAAAATATTGATGATCAGAGGACAGGAGCATCTCTCCTATGAAGATAGACTGAGAGAGTTTGGCTTGTTCAACCTGGAGAAGGGAAGGCTCTGGGGAGAAATTATTGCATCCTTTCAGTACCTGGAAGTTAGAGAGGGACTTTATATAAGTACTGATAGGACAAGGGGTAATGGCTTTAAACTGAAAGAGGGTAGATTTATATTAAGTATAAGGAGAAATTCTTTACTGTGAGGGTTGCTGAAAGAACTGGCAGATGCCCCATCCCTTGAAGTGCTCGAAGCCAGACTGAATGGGGCCTGGAGCAATCTGGTCCAGTGGAAAGTACCTCTGCCCATAGCAGGGGGGGGTTGGAGCTAGACAGTCTTTAAGGTCCCTTTCAACCCCAACCATTCTATGATTCTATGGCTCTAAGAAAGACATCATTACTGTACTAATGCTACTTGATATAGATTAAGCTACAGCTGGCAAAAATGAAAATGTTACAAGGTTGTACACTCTGTGCTGTTGATGGATAAAACAAGGAACAGAACTCTGTCATTACTTGTTAATGAAATATTAATTATTTATTGCTTCACCTTTCACTAGAGAACTGTGTTGTGCTGCTAATCACAAAGGCTGTAATTTCGTGTTTCTGTCTCATTTGAGTTATAGCTCTCATTTCCAGGTATTAATTTCACAAGTTCCCAGATGAGATTCCTACTACTGAGAAAATGTTTTTCATTCCCTGAACAGATTATAAAACAATTGGGTTTGATTTCTTTTTCTTTTCTTTTTTTTTTTCTTACTTTCTTTAGAAGATTTTGATAGCATCCACACTTACATAGATTAAATATTGTAAAGCATAGGCTAAACAGAAGGAAACACTTCTACTCTAAAAAAGACATCTAACTTGAAAGGCAGGCTTCTGTGACTGATTGATTATAGATATTATCTTACTATCAAATAAGTCTTTAGTGTCAAGACTGTCACATTTTCACAGTTACAAAAGAGTTAGCTTTGCTGCTTTAGGGAAACTCACAGTTGTAATGAATGGTAAAAAAATGCATGTGTGTGTCTTAAGAGCCTAAATCCAGTTTTCAAAAGTGTTTTAGAGATGAGAGTCAATCGAATTTTGGGTCTTGACAGCATAAGTTGCTTTTAAAGATAAGATTTAGTCTTCTAAACCTCTTGGGTGATCTTAATAATTTAACAGAGTTGTGTTTTTCCCCCAAATCCTTCAACCAGAAGGATTTGTAAATGCAACGCTGAAAAGGTGATTTTTTTGTGTGTGTGTTATTATTTTCTAGGTGTGTGGTATTTAAATGCTGAAAATGGAAAAAACATTCAACTTCATTTTCAGTTTTTTGATCTGGAAAATATTTATGATGTAGTTGAAGTCAGAGATGGCAGAGGACCAACGTCCTTACTTTTGGGCAAGTAGCAGCATAGCATACAAAATTAATATAATCAGACAGCTGGAGCAAACTGTAGGATATAACATAAAGGAAAGTAACTCTCTAATTTTATTCAATATTTCTTTATATTTTGGGATCTCAGAAATTAGGAGGAAAACCTGAGAAAGCATACTCTATGTGACATCATATTTCCTAAGTGTTTGCACACACTTAGCTTTCTATGCAATCCAAACAAAATTAACTTCTTGATAAATAAGCCTGCTCATTTGTGTGGACAAACAGAAGCATAATCTCTTAGTTGAACCTTATTTTTCTATAATGATATGTCAAATTTGGGGTTGAGCTTTGATCATTGCAGTCTGATAGCAGTTGTGTTTTGGGGAATAACTATTCATGTGGTAGCAGTATTTGCTTTTGAACCCAAAACATTTTGAAATACATAAGAACAAAAGTAGCTTAAATATATCCATGTTCTCCTGGAGAAAAGCTGTATATACAGGACAAGACCCACGGCCAGATGTTTTCTCTACAACAAATCAGATGACAGTAATCCTCCTTACGGACAAATCTACAACGAAGAGGGGATTTCTTGCAAATTTTACTACTGGCTACCATCTAGGTAAGCATATGAACCCATGTATTTAAGAGGTTATACTGCTGTTCAAAGACATTTGAGAAAAATTGGAGAGTGGAAGTTGACCCTCAGTCCTTTGTCAACAGAAATATGGAAAAGTTAAAGAGAAAAAGCCTGGTAGTTACCCATCTGTAATTTGTTTTCTAGCATGAAAAGTGATGTTTTTGTTTCTTTATTGTAACTGGACCAGTGTCGGTATCCTACGAAAAACTGTGTAATATTATGTGAAAAATTGACTCACTATTTTGACCAAAAGATATTCAAATGTTTAGAATGCAAAGACAAACTGTTCGTTATACAAGCCTCAGAAAAGAAGATCACTTTGTGACTCACTTGAGGATGTTACTAATGCGTTTTTAAATGCATTTGTGAAATACTTATTATCAATTACATCCACTAGAAAAGAAAAATGTATATGTAACTCTGATTACTGTTTGCAATACAGTCCTCCTTGCACCTTCAAAATTTGATCCTCAGCTTGTGAAGGATCTCAGAAGAGTTAGACTTAAATATTTGGATAGCAGTGTTTCTAGTCCCAGCCAGTCCCCTTCTAAAAGGCTCAGGTTTTGTTGGAGACTGCAATTAGATTTGACACATATATAAGTAATACGGCAATCAGCTCTCCAAAAACTTGCAAAATGAAGCCAAACGCTAAAGTACATGGAACAGCAATATGCTTACCAGGACAAATACTTACACTAACTCTATTGCAAATCTTGTTGGAATTATTTAAAAGCTTTGTATTACCTCTATGGAAGTCTGACAACAGAAAAAAATAAAAGAAAGAAAAAGCAGTATGTATTGAGAGATATATGAAATACCATTAGTTTACATGAACAGAAAGTCAACAAGAATCTACACTCTTTCGTACTTTAAACATCATAAAGGCAAGTGGCCCCCAGCATGTTTAGCCAGCTGCGTCTTTTGTATGGATTAACAACAGTATTTTTCTTAATCTTAAAAATAAAAATATTAACTATTGATTTATCTTTGTAAAATCAACTACATTTAATCCTGCTGTGAAAGGCTGAGAGGTAGATTTATACAGACATAAGACCATTTTGCTGCTTCTTATTCCGCCTTCTTATCACATATGCACAGTCCAATGCTATGCCTTTTTTTAGCTGGTTCAGCATATTTGCTGAGCCAGCTTTGCCCATATTTTGTTGTGAAACAAAAATTAAACTTAAGGCAGAGTTCTCCAAGTGGCTGTTGCCAGTTCTTCTTAAATATATTAAGAAGTTCCATTTGCAAAAGAATGATGCTTATTCATGATCTTTTCAGCCAAAGGACAGAGACTATTATCATTAGCATGCAGGCCCAAGGGTAAAAGGATTGTCAGTAAATAAAGTAATTGTGAAAAGAAAAGCAGATTTTTCCTCATATTTTAATTTTCTATGAAATATTGATTTTTTTTAAAAGGAAGCATAATTTGAACATTAATAGTCTTTGGCAGTATGCAATATAATAAAAAAAACCTGACCAATAAATTCTATGGAAAATCTGGCATCAGTTATGACCACTGAATATTGTGAAGGCCTGGTTAAGGCCTGATTAAGGCCTTTTATAACCATATCATTTTGCTTCCATATTGTACAACAGGCCATGCTGACTGATGAATGAATCATTTTAGATTAATACTAAAAATTCAGAAGCAAAACAATTACCTTGCCTTAAATAAGATTTCTAGATGATTAAATGTTTCAGTTAGTAAGTCCAGGAAGGAAAATAAAGAAAATAATTTTTCAACACAATTTAAGTTTATGACTGTGGATTTCCTGTAAATGTATGCAATGGAGCCATTAAAAATACACTTTGGCCTTGGAAAAATATAACTTTATTTTTACTCTCTGTTTGATCTGCTTTTGTTATATAACTGATACTGAAGTAGCTTAATCCTACTTTTGTGGATGCTTTTCTCATTCATTCCTGTTACTTTTGTCTCTTCCGCCTTTCTTCCCAGGCACGTTCTGAAAGATGATACATGGTTTCAGTGCCTCTTGTATGTCTGACTTAATATACTTTATGGTCTCTAAACCCTAGTGAAAGTACTCAACATCTGAAACTTGAAATCGTTTGTCACTTTTGACAAGATTTGGCCAGGATTTGATTTTTCTCATCCCTCCAAAGTTTATTACATGTAACAGAAGAACATTAGTGATGGAGCAATATTAACTAAACCAGATGCTACAAAGTATAATGCAATAGATTCTATTCTTAATTAGCTTCTATTTATCTCAAAATAATCTTTATTTTGAAAAAGAGATGGATAAGAAAGGAAACCAAAGGTTCTGTGTACTCAACTTTTCTTTCAGGTGAACCATATGATCTCCAATGAACATCAACCTTTTTTGTAATTATCAATTAAATTTCCTTTCTTGTTTTCTTTCAGGAGCTTGTGCAATTAATGAGCATCAGTGTGGCAGTGGGGATTGTATACCATTGCATAACCTTTGTGACAACCTACCTCAGTGTGAAGATGGCTCTGATGAAGCAAAGTGCAGTAAGGTTTCTTTCAAAGAGAAGGAGTGCATGTTTATTTAGTAGGAATTATGCAGGAAAACAGCCACAAAACCTCAGATAGTGTAAACTACTGCAGCTGCATGCAGACCATGCCAGTTTACACAGTAGTAGCTCATTGAGTTTGTCAGGACCAAAAAAACAAGGTTGCTTTTCTGAGAGTGTATGTAAGCTGATGAAGATGTCTGGAAAAGGTAGGAAGTTCTCTGTCCTTAAAACTGTGTCTGCTTATAACAGCCCAAAATGAAATGAAAACTCATGACATGTTTTCCTCCTGTATTCATTTTTATTCCCAAATTCTATCACTTTTTGCTGTAATTAATTTGAGTTTCAAAGCAGTATAAATTCTGCAGTGAAGTTCTATTCCTTGATGGAAATTCCCAGACAGTCTTGTGAGTGTGAAGCCAAACTACAGCACATGGCACCCTCCAGCCTGCATAGACTTTATCTTGTGGAAACACTGACATAGGTTGAAAGGATGGTATGGCTGCAAAAGCACCATCCATTGTAGGTGTGCATATTGCTACAAGCAGACAAATGGATGCTGCTGCTTAGTCCCCATGTAAAACTGTTATTTCCAAAATGTAGAGGTACAATGAGTATGTGACCTCATATCGCATAACATGGAAGTAGCATTCTCTCAACAATGTTAAATGTAAAACTGACATTAAAAGCATGTTGGGCCTAGCACAGAAATTAAATTGATGTTTCTGACAATGTGGTGGTTCTGGCAATTTATTTTGGAGCAGTAAGTGGGCTTTTTACCTTAGTACAGCATCATCTTCCTTTGTTTCAAAGAGGACTGCTAGGGACCAGATATGTCCTTGGATATATGCTGACAATTCTCATTGAGTTAAACATCTTTTACATGCATATATAAATGTGCATGTAATATATATATATAAAACCCCATATATTTCTATATATGACCTATATAAATATATGTATACCTATATATATATGTCCAAAGGCACAGATTCACTCTTCACAATAGAGCAATTAGCTATTTTGTTGCAAAGATAGTCTTCCTTTAAAATGCATGGAATAAAATTGACTTCAGATGCTTCTTAAGCAAAGAGAACTTGAATGTTTTTTTTTCCAGTCATTGCTAAAGAAGATATGAACAAGGTAACCATCACCTAAACTAACATGATGTACATATTCCCAAAGATTTATTTTGCCATAGATTGTCTGTTACTTCATAGCAAATTACCTCACATTAAAGAACTGGGAGAATTGTTTCCAAAACCTCATTTAATTCAAACTCTGGCTGAATCAATCTAAGCCTTAAAATAAAATGAAAATTCAATTAGACATCTTCACATTGAATCTTTTCAGTGTCCAAAAGTCTTGCTCATTTTTCTTAATCCAATTTCAATTTCTTATGAGAAGTGGCAATTTGTACTAGATAAACTGATGTTTTCAAATTCTAAATCTTCTGAAACTTCCCCGGAACTGCAAAGAAAATTATAGGATACCTTTTCCCTTGCAAAATTCTCAAAATATATGGCATTTGAATGAAGCAGTTGTTGAGTGCTAAATAACTCTCTTACTCCTTCCTAACAATGTATTTGGAGGACATGGATCTGATGAGGAGAAAAGGAATTATAGTTCAAGCGGAAGAAGGGAGAACGGGTGTCAAAAGAAATTTGGAGAATTCTTGTAGCATAGAGATTTTGAAGACTGCTCAAAAATTTCTTACGACTGAGGGTTACCATTGATTAATCACTATCATCTCTTTCATTCGTGCACTGTGGGTGTCAAAGAGGTATTCATAACAATCTATTTTTTTTTCTTTTTTTACTATAGTGGATATGCTTCACATTTTTGTTGAAATATTTTGATGTGAAAAGGTTTTCTGGACAACTGACATTTAACAAATGGTTTTCAGGGAGTTTTTATTGTTTGTGTGTGTGTGTTTTAACTAAAGCTGCAATGAAAAAAGTGAATATTCTCAAAGAAATTGGAACTGGAAAATCCAATTTTTCTGTCAGCTCTGGTTGTAACCTCATTTCCAATCAGTTTTACTAAGCTAAGTTAAAGCTTCGCACAGTATCTGAAAATTACATAGTGCTGGCTAAGAAAAAACATTGGTTAGACTTGATGGAAAATATACTGTTTATTGTCTACTTGTCAGGCATTTGCAAAGTACAGGGTGTGAAACCCTCCTGTGGCAGAAATATAGAAGGAGATAGCAATAACATTTCCTTCCTGTGGAAACACAACATCTTGGAGAGGCTGGGTTTCTTACCATTGTAATGTATTTTAATCTTTTTCTTCTTTTTTTTTTTTTTATTTTTCATATTACATTTCTGCTTGCTTGGGCCAGGAGGAGCAATGGGGGTGTGAAGGGGGGAGGGTCATTTACCAGCCAGCTAAAATGCTTCTGTCCATTTTGATCTACAGTGAGATTGTTTAATGGTTCTCTAAGCACTGAAGGGCTGCTACAGGCCAGGATTGGGAAGATGTGGCACCTGACATGTGCTGATGGTTGGAATGAAGAGATTTCAGACAGTGTTTGCCTGCTTCTGGGGTTAGGGTGAGTGAAAATATTCATTGTCTTTGTAACTTATTTGCAGGTTTGTTTAGTCTGCATATTGATGTTTTCTTCATCATTTTACTGGCGTCTTTACCATTCAAGAAAAGGGCAAGTATATTTTTCTGTAGTAAGTGACCTGCTTGGTGTGCTAACAACTTCATAACTATTGCAAACCCTATTTTGATGGCATTCATTAGAGGATTGATGACTCTGAATATGGCAGATTAGGCATGAGGAGGTATATATTGGAAAACACTGGGAGACTAATGTGGAGATATTAGTCTTTTGCACTTTACATCATCGTTTACATCTTCACGTGTATGAGAATGACTCAAGAGTAAAGCTGGAGTAAACCGCAGCCTTGGCTGTTCTGCCATCTTATTAATATTCATTTTAAGTAAATTCAAGATAATCAGTTGGGTATGCTGCTACTGGGTCCCAAATATGTTTCATAACTATCATTAGACATGAGCTATTGGGAGAAGAAATTGTATTTCTCTTGAGGTATACTTCAAGGGAGGAGGGAAATATATAACTGAAAATTTACTGCCATCCACAGAATAACAAATAGCTTTCTGACAGTGCTGATGTTTTTAGGGGATGTCACTCATCCGAGTAATAATCAAATTAAATTCTAAGCTTGTAATTCATTATGATGGGCTCTGTCCAAAGTAGGATGCCTGCAAATTCCCTTCTGATAATTTAATTATAGAAATCACAGAATTAGGACTTAGAAAAATATCCAAGTGTTATTTGAAAATACTTTTAATCATTAGATGAATGTGTGCTGACTCATTGTTTTAGATTAGTCCCTTTGGGTAGGTACTGCATTTATGTAAATATCAGATACCTGCATGCACAAATCCCTCTTGTAATTTATCTACGTATTGATCTCATTTACACATGCATATAAGAACTAATGACTAAATGTTCTTCTAGTCAACACATTGTCCTTTACAGTGGCCAGTAGCCTTCTTCCTCCGATTCTTTCTCCCCTCTGCCTAATTCTTTTCCCTCTATAACTTCTGGACAGTAGTAATTTTGTAGTCTGCTGGTTTCCTTTCTATTTTTATATTTGATAGGCTTCAGTGAACTTTGTCTCTTATGGTACTTTCTATTACCTTTTAAAAATTACTTATGCTTTTGTCTCCATAACATTTTGTGGCAATGCATTTTTGTGTGTATCTATAAAATAGATACACTTGTTAAAAAAATATTCCTATTAAGTTTCCTAGTTACTTCTTTTTAATTCAACTTCTCAGTTTATTACATATTTCCATTGTCAAGAGAAAGTATTTTTAAACTGAAATTGCATCATATTGTCATATCCTGGGTGCTACTGTTGTCACTGGTCCTACACTCTGGGATAAAATTCTCATATATACAACTATATAAAACCCCTGTAAGCATCATTCTATTTCTGCCTTCCATGAATCCTCCTGTAGCAGCATATTTATTAATAACTGTGACACAATATTACTAAATTGATGTTTATAATAACAGGTCTCAAGTAGGGTATAGCTCATGCACCTATACTGAATAATTATCTAGAATCATGCTTATTAGAGAAAGAAGCTAAAGTTCATCTAGGACAATTTGCACAATTGCTTGTACATTTGCTAGTCTCATTTACTGTTTAATTCATGAAATGGACTGAAATGATAGGACTTCTGTAGTATATCCTGATTGTTTATGTAGCTGGGCTAGAAAGTGCAATGTTCCAATCAGATTCCAATACGTCACACATGTGAATCCTTTTGCCTCCATTTTTCAAATATGTGACTGTCACATTTGTGGTGTGTGCTATACAGGAAGCAAATCTGGAGGTATGCCTATGTGTTCAGCCACAAAATATAGCTGAGGCAAATAATTTACAAATATTCCTAATAAGTCTGGGGTGCCAGGTACACAAATTGATGCTCTTGAGAAACCTGAAGAAGCTCCTTTGCTCATCGTAGACTTGTAACTGTGTGCATCTGACAGCACTTAAAATCTGAGTATTGTTAGCATCGTTTTTCCTTGAACTGACAAAATAATAACTTGAGCTTTTCAGCATTATACTGGTGTGGTGTGAAACAAGCTTGTCTCTCTGGAACCAGAGCCATCCAGGTGTTTATTGAATTGTACCTGGGAATGGGGGTAGACCTTGCAATTTTGCCATATCCAAAAGTCCAACAAGGACTGAGAGTATAGGCCTTGCTCTCAATTCTGCAGTCTATTTTCTTCATGAACTCACAAAATTCTTGAGAAGGAAATGAGTTCATTAGAATAAAATGTTTTGCTTGAGATTTCCAGGTCAATTAGATTTTCATGCTCCCCACTTATGTATGGTAAGTAGTAGCTACATGCTAAGCTCCTTGTGGCAGCTCAGAAAATCCTGTCTTTGGCTGTCAGGCCCAGGTTCTCCAGTGTGCTGAGAATAAAACATAGGACCTGAAAGTGATAAGAATGATTCCCAAAAATCTATGCATAATAAAAAAAAAAAAAAAAAATCTGTTGGATAAATTAGGATGGTGGAAGCTATGAATTGAAAGGTTTCCTGGTATAATGTGCCATGGAAAATATAAGCCAGTAATATTCATAAATGTACATACTCTAAGCTTTTCCTGGTAGCATGTTCATTTTTTACATTGACTAAAACTTCTGCTTACTAACATTCTCAAGAAACAACTTGGTGCTTTTTTTCACACATTTGCACTTTTCATAGATCAGTGATTAGACTGGTCTCAGCAAAGTTCCTCATAGTAGAATTTCACTTTACCTACCTGGGTTGGCACTTTACCACTCTCCCGGACCATTTAAAAACTTCCCTGCGGAACCCCAAGGTTCCAGGGTAATCTCTGAAGTACATATTAGTGTTTTACATTGAAAAAAGTCTGTACACTAGACTAGAGTGCCCAGACTGTCTATATATGTCTGTATATCTAGAGACAGAATTAAGTGGACTTTGTCATTTCTAGGTTGAGCAATGCTGCAGTAATGGCTTTTCCTGTATGGTGGGTCACACAGATCCCTTAATGCCACAGCAGGGCTATTGAACATCTCCTTTCTCCTATGTCTAGTCTTACTCTTCATACACAGCAGATTTGCAGGCAGATTCTGGACCTCATACTTTACAGGAGAATGAGATGTACTGCACTTGAAGAGAAGGTACTTCGTTGGTAGACAGGTACTCTCTGTGTATTAAACCTGCACAAATGGTTCTCTTGCTCCTGAGATGTCTGGCTCCAGAGTCAGATGAGAATAGGCTGTTTCTCCCCCCCAGAAAAAATTAGTCTGCATTTATAATCCCCCCACACACCCCCCCACACACCCCACCCACCCCCATTTCTTCAAGAGAAAGCAAAGGTTTCTTGGGTGTATGTTCCAAGCTGGTCATATGCAGTATCACAAAGTATATGATGCTGAATGTGCTATAAAGTAAATCTGGGTATGGGTTCTAAGTGTAGGAAAAAAAAAAAAATTCTCAGCAATAGTACACAGAATTCTTGCTGTTCAAAAGGCAGTTCTTGCAAAAAACAAATAGTCAAGGAATACCCCCCACTTCAGAAGAAGTTTCTTGTTCACTAGCAAATATAGTATGCTTGACTTATTCCCCAGTTATTTTATTTCAACTGATCCATAACTCTTGAAACTCACTTCTAAGGAAGGTAGTATTTATTCCATTAGATTCTTCTTTATATAAAATATAGCTTAATTTCTTCTCTAGACACAGATGTATAGTATCAATGTAATTGCCCCCTCAAAAAAACCCAAAACTGTGATATTCCAAGGCTCAGCCATTTCTGTTCTGTTTTGCACACTGAGTTTTAGCTCCATATATGTAAGAATTGGTACTGCAATAATTTCCCAAATATCTAAAAATATGCATGTATGTATTTTCCTTCCAGGGATGCAAACGTGTCATCGACAGTATTATTCACTGCAGATGGCCCGTTTGTCAACATTGCCAAAGCAACTAACAACAGCCTAATATTTACAAAAAGGTGGGTAGAGTGTGGTTTCTTCCTCATACAAAGAACAACTTAAAGTGTGGTGGCAATCATTTATATACTGATTTCTAGCTCAAGTTTGTCCAAGAGGTATAATGATTCTGCATGAGGTCTGGACCATAAACATACCTAGGTTTTATTCTCTTTCTACTACTGAGTTCTGTGTAACATTGGGAAACTCTTTCTTCCCCCCTCCTTTTTTGCCCGTCTATTGTATAATTAAAAGAAGAGAGGTAGTTGCTACATTTTTAGCTAGCATTCAGTACAACCTTATGTGAAGTCTTTATATATTTACTGTGGAAACAATAAATACTGCTATTTAAAAAAAAACCATCATTTCTTATCTAGTGGTCTCTAAATTATAAATATGTAATATAGTGGGAGAATTAAAATGGAGTGGCATATACCCATAGTTATGTAGTAGTTGTCATACTAGGTACTCTGTTATCAACAGAGGACAAATAAGCATTCCATCAAGGCATCTCTTGAAATACTGTCACACTCTATAATCCATTGACTTTATTGGATTTAGGACTTGATGTGGATTGCTAACGCAAGCAATTAACAGACAGGTATCTTTATTTAGACAAATTGGTCCCACTCATAAATGACTTCTCAATGTGTCTCCACCTTTAGAAATGAATCATCATGAAATGAACTTTAGCATACTGTCAATTATATTCTGATCTCTTTCAACCCAAATAACATCTGTAGTGATTCTGAAGTGTCCTACAGACTTGTAGTTTCTTGTAGATTAAATGAAAATGTAATGTTTGCACGGGATTATATTCTCAGGAAATTCTGGAATTTACCTCCAAAAGCAGAAAGGCTTGCCATCATCAAATTAAAAAGTAAAATATACACAATTACTTCAATTACTGTCTTTCTGCTTATAGAAGGACTTATTATACACATTTTTTCTGGAATCCTACCAAAAGCACTGAGGTAGAAAATTACTGTCTAATTGCTAAAATGCTGAAACTATGTTGAGGATGGAAAGAGTCTGTGTTCTTTCAGGTTTCCTTTATAGACATACCATGTAGTAACTAAGCAGGAGAGAATTCTTAATTTTCTATGCCATGTTTTATCTACAGTAAAAAAAATATTTTTAAAGGGGTACAGTTTATGTTCTTATTATAACCTGTTAATCCTAAACATTTATCATTCTCACTGGTGGTGAAAGTATCTTCAATTAATGGAATATCATTGCAAGCTATTTTTCTTTTCCTCTTGAGTGGATGGCTAAACCAGCATTGCCACAAGAGATCTTAAAAAGTGGTAATGATTTAAAGATGTCTTCTGTAAATATCTATTAAACACTAAAAAGTGATTAATTCAGGAGGAAATAGAATAAGTTCATTTATCTTAGATGTATTTCTGTTGCAAAAATAGGTATCTTCTACCATGTTTCATCTGGACAGCTGGTAGGAATCATTTTACAGGGTGAAACTGTTAGAGATTCACATGCTTTTTGTACATATAATGAATGATAGAAAGATCACACATACTTGATAATTAAGAAACCCCCAAATTCATCAAATTATAAAATGTATTTCTCACATTGTCTTTGGTCTTTATTCAAGTGTAACTATCATTGAATCAAAGGAGGGCACTTATATGATGAAACTTGAAAGCTGTGGTGGCAGAGACAGCAAAACTGCTCTCTGATGTCCTTAGGCAATGTATATCCTTGGCAGAATAGTTTTGTAACAGGGAGAAATCCTGCCTTGCAGATGTATGTGAGCAGATTTCACAGGTATAATTGCTTTTGTCAGTCCTAAGCGAAGATCATAGTCTCAGATTTCCCAGCTATACTAGATTTCTGGCCAGCATGCTGCTTCTTAGAGAGCACTCAGAGAGGCATAATTTCTACTAAAGTAGTCAGTAGGTATTGGTGGTGGGAAAAAGACCCTCAATACATGTGACTCCCTGTTTCCATGTAAAAAGAAATGGGGACAAATCTGACATATTGGATATTATTTTGGCTAGTTTATGCATCTACCTGAGAGAAAACATAGGATCAGATAAAAAAGCTAATATACAGTACCAACCATTCTTTTAGAGCCTATGGGAGGAGCTTGGTCAAGAGTATTTAGTTCCTATGTTATGCAGAAAATGGTATTGATTTCTTGTGGATTTATGCATTTCTGGTTGTCCTCTTTAACGTTTGTCTTGCTACCAAGGGACACCCTTATGAAGTCAATATAGACTTGACTACAAATTGTAATTTGTTAAATTAGTTTAAAATTATGAATCTATCTTGAAGGGGAAAATTGCTATTTGGGACTCTCAGGGCTGGAGGCATACCTCATTCTTATGCTGTTGTAGTGAAGTTTTAATTGGGAATGTGGGGGGTGGTTATAGTTTCCACTTGTCCTTGCACCACTATGCGATTGTGAAAATGCTGGGTTACATCATGCATTATAATAAAATTTTACAGCAAACATAATGAGGGATACATAATACCTATAATATCTTCCCCTTTTCTATTTAAAAATCATATAGAGATGCATATTGTAAACTAGCCATTGGCAGACTTTTTTTTTCCTTTGATATATTTCTGTGTATCAGATTTAAATTGCTAGTACACATACTGTCTGAAGTGTTCAGATTCATTACAAGTTATGAAGATAATCTTAAAACCTCTGGGTATCAGAAATGCTTGAGTAGTTTTGATCTGTGGTCTTGCGCTATTCAGACTCTGGCTTTATATCTCTGCTAAATAATTTCTAACCTTTTAAATGCAGCTATATATTTGACAGTGCATTATAACCTTAGTAAAGATACAACGATATCAAACTATCCTCTTAAATTCTTTGGTCACACTGATCTCTAGTGGTAAGGTATTAAAAACATCTCAAAATATAGAAAAAATACCATACACAGTTACAATTTAATTGAGAATCTGTCACAGATGACTCACTTCCCTAAAAAGCAAGAGGTGTCTACTTTTATTTTTGTAAAATATACGAATTCGGTGTCCATTGAAGAGGAATATGTACATACAGTACAATATATAATGTTGTGTATTTATAATTACAATATAATTAAAACATGTTGGATAAATATATTTAACAGTTATACTGATAATGTGTTTATATAGAGAAGTGTGTAAGTAGATATATGCTTATAGACATTTATATATAAATGTCTACGTATGTATACTTGACAGTCATATAGTGTTTGTTGGTGTGCAGATATTTGTGATTTAATTGCATTTTCATTCTAGAGAATTCTGTTTGAACAACCAGGTGGTTCATCTGCAATGCAACAATAAACGTAAGTAGACATACCCTGGGAATATTTCACATAGAAATCAAATTGTTCAGTCCATAAAGCCTAATGTTTATAGTTTGAATTGAAAGGTTAGGGAATGGACTATAAAAGCTATACTCGTAATGATATAAACACAGGAAAATTTAAAGTCTTCACTTGTTTTCAGTGTTAAGTATACACTAGAGATGGTAGTATTCTGAAAACACATATAAAAAATCCAGAAGGTCTGAGGAAAGAACACATCTAAATCCAAGTTATAAAGTTGTATCTTGATTTCAGCTATAAAATCTCAATTTTTTTCCACAGTAACAATATTTTTGAATAGCAGTTTAGATACTACAAAGCCAATTTTCCCAACAATATTAGCTAGTCTAATAAAACATGCTATAGCCCCCTAAAAAGCTGCATTTTTTTTAATTTATTGTTTTATTTTTTTTTTGTTTTTTTAGCTTGCGGAAAACACCTGGTAACTCAGAGCTACAGAACAAGAATTGTAGGTGGAAGTGATGCCAGAAGAGAGGCTTGGCCTTGGATAGTTTCACTCCATTTTAATTCCAGACCTGTTTGTGGAGCTTCCCTTGTCAGTGATGAATGGCTGGTGACAGCAGCACACTGTGTATATGGGTAATGTTCATTGCACTCAGAAGTTAACACATTCTGATACTCCCACAGCATTCAAGTATCCAAGTGGTGGATAGTTGTCAGTAAGGCTGGGTTAAAGTATGACCTGAGCCATCAATCAATCCTGTATAGAGCAAAACACTCTTTCAAAGGATCATACTGAAATCACTGTGGTGTGACACCTTTTAAGGCATTTTTCTAGATGTTTACTTTAGCATGAAATGGTTATAAATTCACAAGTGCTGCTTTCTCTCCACTGAATCTAGGGCATCTTTCCAACTAGCTGAGACAGACATATGATATCCTTGCCACGTCTTTTTTATTTTAACGATAATGAAACATTTATTTTATGTGCAGGTTCACTAACGAGACATCATATTATGAATAATTTTTGACACCAATATAAAAAATAAACAACTAGCTCACTGTTTAATTGCTGGTTTGAATCATTTTTGGGCTCAGCTAAAGGCTTCTTTACTTTTTGGTAAACCCTTAGTCCTTACTTAAAAGCAGAGAATCATGGAAACTAAACAGCAGTGAAGAATTGCACTTTAAATATATGGTCTTAATACTGAGCATTTGCACTTAACCCATAATTAATGTGATGTTCCATTAATGAGTTGAATCTCTGCCAGTGGTAGAAAGGATGACATCATATCTTAGAAAGGTAAACTGAGTATTGTCTGTTCCTACTGTACATTATCACAGATTGATAAGATTTACTGTGCATGAATCTTGATTTATGTCCATAGGCAATATTGGATATCCTCTAGATGGTGTTATTTGTACTATTCAAAGTGAGAAGTGATGCATATGAAAATATTTTCTAGGGTTTGCTTCCATAACATCTATAATAAAAACAAGTGCTGAGACACCTAGAAAATGGAATGGCAAAAAAAAAGATACATTAACATTCAAAATTACAGCTGAACTTTCATTATAAATAACTAAGTAGTACGGCAGTGGAGACTATGCCGATACATTAATGATGCCTCATTGCATGACAGGAGCTATATTCCAAGGAGACATATTCCACACAAAGACACTGAAATGAGAAGGATCAGGCCCCTCTTACTTTTTACACAATAAATCCACACCTGTCTTTTTACTTCCTTTTCCCTTAAATCACCTTTCTATTTTCACTTAAATCTTATCATCTTGACTTTACTGGCATTTTCCCAAGTGGGAGCTTGTAGTTTCAGACCTTAATCCTGAGCATTCAACTTAAATGCTAGTAGTTTAGAACAAGATAACCTCTTGGTGTCAAACCAATTCAGTACAACAATCAGACTGAAAACATATTTTTGGAACTATGAACCAGTTGATTAACAAATAGCAAATAAGTAAGTTCTCTAACATAAATGCAGCCTCAAACTAGCATGCATAGTGTAGCAAAAAAATGCAGATTATATCATATTTTTACTTTTTTATTATTTAGATTAAAAAAATAAAAGATCAGTTTTCTGAGTCTATGAGCTGCAGCATTCCTAATGACATCTTATGCCTACTATTCTTTGGATATTCCATAATAATTTTCTAACTGGGACCAATATTAATTGCCTGGTGGGCAGTCAGCAATATTTTTCACAGTGTTTAAAAAGACAGAGTAATTTAGTTAATGTATTTTCCTCCTCTGCACTACTGTCTGATTAATTCTTCATACATAATGCATTATAAGCCTAACATAAAAAATTGACCATGTATTTCTAGAGTCTGGATATTTAAGATAGCATTACTATGCCAAAATTTTAAGCACTTCTGCTACATTCTATTTGTTTTGACAAAATGTGCAAATGCTATGAATTACCATGAGGTTAAAAATTAGCATTTTACCTAACATATTTTTCAAAACTTTCATTAATCATTCATAATTGTGAATTCCTTGCAACTTCTAGGAGGCAATTAAAACCATCTCAGTGGAAAGCAGTTCTTGGCTTGTATGACCAATCAGATATGACACAGCCTTCAACAGTAGTTCAAAACATTGATCAAATAATTATAAATCCTCATTACACAAGATCTACAAAAGATAGTGATATTGCTCTCATGCACTTGCAATACGAAGTGCAATATACAGGTGAGTTGCTCTTTTCCCATAAAGCAGATTTACTCTATTATGCAAAACTCTGTGTTAAGCACATGAGGGTGATGGGGTGGTCGTACATTTTTTTACAATCTAATCATTCTGGAGGCAGTCCAGTACTTCCTGGCTATCTTGCCCAAAAAGCAGGCTTGAATTAATGAATATTTTCTTATGTGACTTTATAAAAACCTGAATACAGGGAAAAGGTTGAAATTGATTGCTTGTTTCTTATTCACAGATTATATACAACCTATCTGCTTACCAGAAAAAAATCAACACTTTTTACCAGGAATTAACTGCTCCATTGCTGGATGGGGTACTATTATGAGTGAAGGTGGGTCATTTGCTCGGAAAATTATGATAGGCATGAAGTCATGAAGGAAAGCTTGCTCCTGATTCCACAGGGGTTGCTAAAGTAAAATAATTTAAAGAGATACTCCCCCATATAAAAATTTGGGAACTATCCCCCTCCACTGCTTCTTCGCCAAAGCAAAATAAATTATAACTTACTTGTTCAAAAATATATACATACCTAAGATAATTGAATCATGAAAAAACCTTGTTGCATCCCCTTAGAATTTATGATGACAACTTTTCTCAACATGGAATACATACATCTTTTTTCCAGGTATTGGGTGGGGGAGGAGGAAGATTAGTCTTTCTGACAATGGGCAAACAGTTTTCCCCAGAAGCCAAGCACACTGACTGTATTGTGAAATCTATGTTCTGTTTGTATATCATATGCTCCAGATTTGAAGTCTCTATGAAATAATAAACATGCCATTTCAGTTCCACAGTTACTTGTATGCATTCACTTCTACATTTTCCGAATAAAATTGCATTTAAAATTTTAAAAGTTTAAATACTCAAAGTGAGGATAATTCAAGCTCCTAAACCCTTTATTATCCCTTATATCTCCCCACAGTGAGTTCATAGTCATTGATTTTAGTAATCTTGATTTAATTATAACCAAATTCAGTCCCATTACACAAGTGAAAGCTAGGATTCAATTAATGAGCAATGTTCAATCAGTGACTGTGTTACAGGCTTATAAACCTGAATAGTACAGCAGTGAGGCAGTTTCCTGCTGCTCCATAGCGTGCCCAGCATGCTGGAACAGAAAAAAAGCCATCAGAATTCTGAGCAGGATGTACATATTTATTACAGCAGGTAACTGTACTTTGTATTTTCATCAGGTCCCACTTCAGATATGTTGCAAGAAGCAGAGGTCCCTCTCATTTCAAATGAAAAATGCCAACAACAGATGCCAGAATATCATATTACTAATAATATGATCTGTGCAGGATATGACAAAGGAGGAGTAGATTCTTGTCAGGTAAATACAAGTGACTCATTTCGTACTTGCATAGACCACACCTCATTACTGAATAAAATGCTTCCTAATCCTCCAATCATTAAAACCAGGACAATCACTTCACCAATGTAATTTCTATTCACAGTATTTTTCCCATTTGATACTCTATCAGGATAAAAGTTGAAAAGGTAAAAAGCAATTTTTGGTCATCTTGACATAAACAGCCTTGGAGGAAGATAAATATGAGGACTGGAAATTTTCTGTACTAAGCTTTCACTAAGCTTTGAATAATTCCTGCTTAGTAATTCCATGAAGAAAAAAAGGACATGCTTAAGGAAAAGCAGAGTACAGAGAAACAAATACCAAATAAACTGAAATCTCAGAAATGTTTCCCAAAGGGACAGATCAATGATGCCTTTCCCCAGAATCTGTAGACTCTGGAGACCTTGTGTAGGTGGAAGCCACAGTATTTTGGAGAGGTTGCCTTTCTGCATTGTTCTTTTCCTGGGTACCTAGTTTTATCCATTCCAACTCTGGTTACAGCGCACTGTTCCCTTTGAGGATTTAGTCAGAGCTAGCTGTCACATAATTCTTCCAACAATATGGAGTCTGTGGCATGGAGACTGGCTGGGTCTCATCAAGTCTAATGAGCTCTCCCATGTAATTGCAACTGCCTTGCCCTGGTGACCTAAGACTTCATCAGGTACAGTGGCTTTGGCTAGTTTAGTCTAGAAGGAGTGTATGCAAGCCCAAATTTACTTGCCATTCCTTCAGCCTCTGTGGCTTTCCTCTTTCCTTTTTTCCTTCTGAACCTCATAATAAAAAAAAAAAAAAAAAATCAGCTTAGCACACAGGATGACATAGAGTACAAGTGACCAGCATTGTGATCAACGACCATTCAACCATGAGCAAAGATGAACAAGTCCTAATAGTGCTTCAGCCTTTAGGCTGCTGTCACAGCCTTTGAACATTTGCAGACACCCTAGAGTTACAGGCAGAAGTCTTTTAATGCTCAAGTCTCTGCAGATCTCTCCTATAAAGATCCATTCACAGGGCTATGAAAAGACAGAGATAATACTGGATAGACAATACCCAACTAACTTGATAGACAACAAAAAAATAGTCCTTGCTTTCCTTCTCATCAAAACAAAGACACTCATGGCTGACTCATCACCTGCTCTGGCTGTGGGATGAATCAATTTGGTCTTCCACATTCAATTGCAATGCTACATCTGCTAAACTATTGAGAAGTTCAGCAGATGTCCTTGAGAAAAGGACACCTCCTATTCTGGTAATATTGCAATTTTTTCTCTAAATCTGAAGTTCAGAAAGTCTGGGGTGACCAAGAATATAACTGCATGTTGTCTGAATAGGTTTAATTAAAAAATAATCCTACACATTTACCTAGGCTTTGTGAAAGATGAAAGGCTAAATTTAAAAGTAAGAAGCAGAAAAATAATTTGAAACCCAGTCCTGTACTGAAAAACTGGTAAGAGCTTAAGTTCATATTCTTTTAAAAAAAAGGGAAAAAAAAAGGAAGAAAAAAAAAAAGAAAAAAGAAAAGAAATCTATTATCTATCTCAAGAATTCTTCCACATGCAAGTATTCATATTGATCTCGCTTCAGGTGCCCAAGACAAACAGGTACAATTAAGGATCAACACAAACAAAACAGCATAAACAGGCTGTGCTTCAGAATTCACAGTGTTCACTTTTAACTTCTGAATTTCATATTGCAGGGAGATTCAGGTGGCCCTATGACATTTGAAGATGGGGACAAATGGTTTTTGGTTGGTGTAACATCATTTGGCTACAAGTGTGCACTTTCCAAACGACCAGGAGTGTATGTTCGAGTCACCATGTTTGTGGACTGGATCAAAGACATTATCTATTAGCATGATATTATTAAATGATAAAAATAGAACTTCAAGGTTGAAAATAAGCCATTAGATAACAATGTAAACCAGACTGGCATTTCAACCTTACAGTTAGAGAAACTGAATAAATATTTAAATTTCAGGGAGGAAAACATTACTATTTGAGAACTCCATTACCAATTGAGAGTAATATTCCAAATCAGATGCTATGATTTTTTTAACAAATAGTTTTATCATTTTACTTTTTCTATGAGACCATGAGGAAACAGTTTCTTTGAACATGAGTGTATTAAATGCATAGTGAAGGGCTTTACAAACCATGGGCAGTAAAATAAAAAAAGTTTGTAAACTGCAAATGCTTTGTTGAAAAATCGTCTAGATAGTTAATTCCAGGCCAAACAATACACAGTTTTATGTTTTACACTGTATTTTTCAATGTATATTTTCATTCCAATGAATAGTCAACTCTTCTCAGTAATCTCACCACTCATCAAAACAAAGGTATGTTATCCGTTTAAACTGGGCTCATGGGATTTCTTCTGTTTTGTCTATTACAAAAAGCTCTGGAATGAGGTTTATGGATTGTGCACAAAAACTGATCATATATCATACTGCTTTCTAATGAACAAACTGAATGTAAGCCAAAAGTTCTCTCTTGTGTAATGTGTTGGAATTAATAAGAGTTAAATAAGGATTGAACATAGCTTTTTAGTTTTCTTTTTAAGAAAGTGCTTTGGCAATTATTCAAGCAATTACAGATATGTGCTTGTGTACATCCAAGCAGAGACTCACAATACTACAACGTCCTCTTACAAACAGTAATGTCTTTTAAAAACATCTGACAATAATGAGTACCAGCTATTTCTAGTGAATAAAAGGTAATAGAGTTCCTTCAATATGCTTCTCTGTAGTGATGACTTTAAATACTGAGTTTGTGCTTTGTATAAAAACTATCATGATAGCTGAACTATCCAAAAAGGAAAGAATACAATGGAAATGGTTTCATCTTCTTGAGCTCTTTTCTAAATAGGTTTCTATTAAAATATAAACATCTATTTGTTGAAATGCCTTAATGTAATCATGTTTTAATGTTTGTGCAATATGATGCATTTCCTTTATTTCTGTTTTAGAGTAGTGTAGGATATTTAATATATTTTTAATTCCAAAGTACTACATGAAAATACAAAATGCATTCTAACTTAGCGTGTATATGTAACTACAGATATAGACGTATGATTTTTTTGTAAGTACTTAGTAGTACACTAAATGCAGATATGAAGTGCTCAGAACAAAAGGCTAGCTTACAAACACAGGTTGGCAGTCATTGATAAAATAATTAACAAGTCCCAAACTGTTTTCAGGTCTTCATAAGCATTAGAGGACTAGGTCCAGACCAAAATGTTTATCAATACATTTGTGACCACAAGGAAGACAGACAGTTGTGATTAAGCCAGAAAGAAAATAAAAGGTATTTTAGACACCTTCTTTTATATAAACAATGCAGCTTTTAACATTAAAATGTTAAAGCTGTTAATCCTAGCTTTCACGGTGGACTTTCTCCTGTTACTCTCCTTCACTTGAAAAAAGCCACTGAAAATCAAGTGCATTTTGCTATCACTGTAAATTGATTTGGTGAGGTGCTCCTACCCATGGCAGGGAGGTTGGAACAAGATGATCTTAAGGTCCTTTCCAACACTAACTACACTATGATTCTACGATAAGGCAATTAACGTTAAAATGCTTAATTAAAATGTGACATGATTTCTGCATTCTTTACCATACATCACTATTGTAAATTGTGTTTCAGTCTGTTAATGAAATACGAGAGCCAACTCAAAGCAGAACCAGTTACTAGAAAACATGCTTCCCAAAAAGACAGTAATATAATTCTATTTACACATATTTTTGCTTCGCAAAATGCAAAGCATCAATGTATTTTGAGGTATACATTAATAAACCATCCCATCAGACTAAAAAAATTCCTATTATAAACTGGTATAGAAATTTATATGTAATATAGACTAGTATGACTAAAAATAAATTTTTCATTTCATCTAACTTACGTCTACATAAAACTAACATAACAATCAACCTCATTCTGGCCTTCATTCAGCATCCATGACTTCAGTGGCTTGCATATTAACTTGTGGAGAAACCAGTCATTACTGTGTTGGAACATGAAAATAATCCATGCGGCCCACAAGTTGCTCTTCCAAAATGCTTTGAAAGAGAGGTCAGAAGCTTGATACTGATTTACATTGCTTGCACCCAAAAAGGTTAAAAGATTAAAGAAGGACTCAAGTTGCTCTCTCAAATGCTTCTTGCACAATAGAAAAACAATAGAAAAATAATAAAAATTCTCTTCCCATGGGAAAATAGGGGTGGTGGGAGTATAAAGTCTGTAAAATAGCAAAGTGAAGCCATGCCACCCGAGGACTAGCTATGGTTTACTGTTCATCCTTCTGTTCCTTGCCTCACTTACTGCTGTCATTTGGAAGAGATTCAGAGAAGGGAATGTGTTAAAGGGAGTTAATCCTTCAAGACTGTAAAAAGAGCTAAGTTTTTTACCACAAATGTTCCCAGAAAAGAGGAATCTCTTGCCCTCACTTGACTTAAGCAAAGCTTAAATCAGGATAAAACCAGTTCTGGTCTTGGTACAGAATCATAGTATTTTCTCTCTATTTACAATCACTACAAAAGATATTGAAGTAGGGGATTGTGCAATGGAGTTGTGATTGACTGGAAAAACTAGAGAATATTTGACATAGGAATAGCAATACTTAATGAATACAGAAGACAGCTTCTTCAAAAAGCAAGTTGAAACAGGGCATAACAGTAAATGCTATGCTTCAGCAATAGCATGGATACCATTAGTATTACTGGTATTGAACTTTACATTTTATTTTTTTTCTTTACTCAGAGAAATTGATACACATTTGTCTCTGAAGTCAAAGCTGTGATCAGCATCAGCTAGCACAGCTTAGGCAATCCAAAGAGCAATACAGTTTTGCTTCTGTTTGTCTCTCCCCAACTTCCACCCAGTGGTATTTTTGAATCTGTGTTAATGTAAAACAAGCTGGCTTGAACTTGTGCTTTTGAACTCTTGCTGCAATTGCAGAAAACCTCTTAACTTTCTGCTACAGCACCAGATTGTCACCAACAAATCAGCCAGAGTGCTATTGCTGCCACCCCAAGATCTGCTCCTAATGAATAGTAAAACCTCTTAACTTTCTGCTACAGCACCAGATTGTCACCAACAAATCAGCCAGAGTGCTATTGCTGCCACCCCAAGATCTGCTCCTAATGACTAGTAAAACCTCTCTTATGGCTCAGAAAGCTCTTAAGGAACCAAAGAGAATGGACATTAGTAATGTTAATAATAATTTTTAAAACCTTCAGTGCATCAAGGTTACCAGTAAGTATGTCGGTCAATTAACATACTTAACGCTTTTCTAGCTAAGTCTCAGTAATGTTTGGATCAATCTATTAGTACCATGTCCAAGAACATCCATTTGTCTTCTTTGATCCAACTTTACATTATTCCTAACAAACTATTAGCTGTATTTAAATGAACCTTAATGTCTTTTTTACAGATTTACTCAAACCAGTAATTTTCATCTTAAACTCATGTCCAGTGTGATTTTTCTTTTCTTTTGTAAAAGTAAAAAGCATTTTACTTAAATAACAACTAATGGCTGTCTTCAAAGAACACCTCATTAATGAGGTATCACTTGCCAAGTCATTTATGTTAACCCTGGGCCACTATGTCAAAAAAGTTACAGACATTCCCTGAATTCATTATATGGCATCAAATGACTTTCATGAATCCTTGAATTTTGCCACATCAGATCGTTGTCACAACATGGCTAGCGGCCATGTTAATACTTAATAATTTGTGTGCCTGAGGCTCAAAAACGGTGCTAAGTGTGTGAATAAATATTAAACAAATATTTTGTATCAAACATTTATGCAAAGATAAATAATTGTTACACTGTAAAATTGTCAGTTCCATTTACAGTACGTCAACTAGGTTACAATGCATGAAAGACTAAAGGAAACAAAGAGGGTTTGTTTAACTACAAACAGTCTTAAACCCGATATACATTGTAGCTATTTCCCCATAAAAACTTCAAACACTCTGTTCATTTCATTGCTCACAACTAGCTAACTTACATTTCTTAGCAAAATAAACACATACCCTTTATTTAGCATGGCATATTTTGTTACTGAATTAATAATCAAACATTATATAAAAACGATCTGAACATTTGCCTCAAGGGGGAGCTTACAGTTCATTCTTGTAGATCCTTTGCATTTTCAAGCCATTCCAAGCTAATGTTCTTTGACAATATAATACAGCCTGACTGCAGAATGTTATTTTTGCTTGTTTTCAGTCAGTAAGTCATTATACCTCCATGCTACTGTTCTTCCTAGGCATCTTTGAAATCCATAGTGTGGACTGGTTTGGACTGGTTTTTGTTCTTCCTTTACTGAAAAGGAAAAATATAAAGTCTTTTCAGCGCATGCATGCCTTTGCAGTCCTGATTCAGGTTTGTGATCAGACCTGGGTATTCCACCCCCTATTTGAAGGACATCTTTGTTGCTTTCATTGCATAGGTTCCCCATGTGGGAACAACAGAAGGGTCATGCCCATGCTGCACCCAGCATAGCACTATGGTGGTGGGTTGAGGTAAGCAACTATTACCAAAGTTACTAGACCACCCTGCTCAGCTGCGCTGCTCCCAGGAACACAACTGACTTGTCACATTTTGGTTTTTCAGTGCATGTTCAACCACACTTACATACATGGTGGTCTTCTCACGAGATGGTTGCAGACACTATTTGACCAGGGTGGTGGAAGGTTGGGCACTTCCCTCATCTGAGGGATGTACATGGGACAGGAGCATGCGAACCAACATCGGATGTGCCAAGGGTGCAGCCCACCCACCCCCAGGGAGCTACAGCAACCCTGCACATTCACATCATGGAGCTGCACGCCATGACTGCAGTACGCTCATGAGTTCCAGTGCATACTGGTATAGCTTCCTTCAGGGCTTGACCTAGCTTCTAATGAAGTAATGGCACATGAATCAGACTTCTGGCAATGAATGACTGGTAGAAAGCTTCCTTAGGCCAGTTTTCATTCAAAACTGTCAATAGTAGTTTCTGTGTTTGTTTGTTTGGGGTTTTTTAATTAAAAAAAAAAAAAAGCTTAAACTGTTTACAAAATTACTTGCTCTGCGATACTGCAAGAGTGTTCACTCCAGTCTTTACAGGGAGCCCTGAAGCACCCTGTAAACTGATGCTAGTCTTTCCAT